TAATCGTTGTTAGAAATGATTTCATTATCATTTAAATATTTAAGTAAAAAAGTACATCCTATAGGAATGGTTTACAGACTCAACAAACACTCATGGTCAAATATGTGGGAAATCATACATTTTGTGTAAAAGTTTGGTTCCTAAACATGAAGTGGTTCAACATCACAAGATTGGGGGAATAATCTTGGATGAGAGCCAAGACACATTTTGTATTACGGACCGTTAAGGAGTTCATCTCTAAGAGAATCTCTCATTTTCTTTGAAAGAATTTTGAGTTCTCGTGCGGCCTCACTGGCCTCAGAGAGTACTCCATCTAGTCCATAGCGATCCTGTACTCCATGACCTCTCCCATGACCCCTCCTCCTCGGAGCACGACCTCCATCATATTCACTTTCGTCGGACATAAATCCATCCTGTTGGTCATCGAAAGATTGGGGGAATTCTTGGATGCGTACACGACGTCTTGGTGGGGCTGAGAACACTGGCACAACATACTGAGGGGGTGGAGGAGGAGGTAACTGTCGACGGGGAGGGATCTGGTAGTTACGTAAGCGATTAACTCGGTCACTAATCGCATTAAGATCATCCTGGGTGACTCTTCCTGTAGGGTATGGAGGATGACCGTTCATGTGTGGCATCGGTCCAAATGTGGCTGGGGCTGTGGAATTCAGATTTACCATTGGCTGGTTGGGCATTGGCACTGGCATAGGCTGGTAGTAACCTGCAGGGGGTGCATAATTATCAAACCCATTCTCTTGAGGAGGATGAGGTGGTAGAGCACGATTTTGTCTTGAAGGTGGAGGAACAGGAGTGGCAAATCGTACGGGGGAGTTACGAAGCCCACTTACACTTGACATTGGTCTGCTCCTCTCGTATGGCATGTCAAGACTGTGCTGCGACCGAGTGTCATTCCCATCCTTCATGTCTTTAACATCAGACATAAGATCACGAAGACGTCCATGACGTGAGTTCCTTACGGGATCACCTTCTGGAAATATTTTCATTCCAGTTTGCGTTCCCTGCTCTGAGAGAGTTTGTGTGGCAGCAACTCCATGACTGCCTGCATGTTTTAGTGTCCGTACATCAGAGCTCAGAGATTGAAGCATTTCTCGCGGCAGGCTCCCATTAGAGGCTACAGACCGTGCATCATCTGTTGGGGTGTCTGAGCCAATACCCCGCTGGGCCTTGAGGGTTTTAACGTCCATTAGTATACTCTTTAACAAGTCTGTCCTGGAGCCTCCAAGGGACCTCCGGGTTTGATTACCGACAGAGTTAAGAGACAGGTTGGATGTCTGCATTGATGTGTTCTGTGGCAGACTTTCAGTTTGGGTTTGCATGGTGCGTGGCACTTGTGTACTGATGTTACGCGAGCTACCGCCCCACATGTTGCTGGGGGTCTGTGTGCGGGCATGGGCAGGTGTCTGACATGCCGCATCCTGGAGATCATCTGGGTTGATTTGTGGAAAATCTCCGATTATATAACTACCAGTGGACTCGGCGTCCGACACAGCTTCTAGCAACAACTGGCTGGGTGTACCTCTCATTGTATCTAAAGTCTGAGAACCAAAAACGTCGACTGTATCAAAACTCGAAGCATGCATGGTATAGTACGTCTCACCATATCCAGACTCTTCGCTCTCTGACTCACATCCTGCAGCAGCGCCACCTTTCTTCAGATCATGATCAGGTCTGCTGCTATGTGAGCGACGTGCTGAATGGGGAGTGTGGGGCTGGCTCCCTAGACCACGCCTTATTTTACGTTTACTGGGCGTACTGCCACGGCCGCCACGTACTGAGGGAGGATATCTAAACACACTGTCATCACCATCGTCATCATCATCGTCGTCATCACTGTGGCGTGATCCAAGGAGATTGCTGCGTCGCCCAGATGACCTGGCAGATGGGTCTGGTGTTTGTGTGGAACGGCACTTGCGTCTCTGCAGGGTAGATGATTGGAGGAATGACATTATATCTTATATAATCAACAAAGGAGGAATTAGTGTCAAAAACCGCTGAAAAGTCAGTCCACTTTAGACACCCTCAAACAGTCAATAAAAGCAGAATTAGCACCAAACCATTCAACAAAATATTTCATTAAAATTATGATTACCAAGCCATTAGTCAAAAATATAAATGGACAAGAAAATGGAACATAGATATTTTCAAATAAAATTCCTTTATTTTTATCTTACTCATTGTCCCTCCAACAAAGTCAACAGGAAGTGGTAAATAAATGAGATGTAAAGTTATAAGGAAGAAAAGATAACATTGAATAACACACAGAGCAAGCACCATGGATGCAGAGCCCTACCAAATCACACAAAATACCCCCAACTAGCTAGCTACACCTCTATCTTAATGTACTAGGACAGTTGCTGACTTGCTTTGCATTTGGAATGCTGCGTAAAGAGGCACCGAGTGCAGGAAGATTTAAACATTGGAATTCAAAAAGGTTTCACCAATGGTATTTACTGCATAGGGAAAGAAAAAATGTGTATTTTAGGTTTTTTTTTTCATTTTTTTTTTTTTTTTTTTTAATGCTTAACGACCACTTACCTCAATATACACAGGTCACCATAAATAGATTTCTACAACCACACCAGGAAAAGGAAGAAAGAGGAACAAGTGTAAGCAGATAGGCAATGATAGAGGATAGAGGCAGTGGTAACTCACCTACTTAAGGCTAGTGCTACACACCAAGTGCCAATGTTATGGCCACAGATTGCTGACATGAGTAGGAGAGAAATCTAACAGACTTTCCCTGTGATACACCTGTCCAGTTCACGTTAACGTACCTAAGGGTAGACCTCCATAGCTGACAGGCATTCAAGCAAACTAAAATGAATTATTTGTCTCCGTATTGATCCAATATACAAGTTTGTTGGACATGTTGGAACAAGTTTCAAATTTACTGGTAATCCCTTTCCCGCCAAATTATAATAGATTTAACGATCTGACCTACCTAAACACAGGGCTGAGGATTTTACCTCTACTTGACAGAGTTAGTGAGCTAACAAGATAACAGGTAGTAGATTAAAGCAGGTAAATAAAAGAGGTAAATAAACAGTGAGATACTTGATATAATACAAAAGGTGTATAAATAAATTCTGCAGCAGCTGACGATCAGTCGACAGGAGAATTGATCGTGTATTCAAAGCTCAGGTAAGGCTGGATAGAAATTAAAGCTCAGAGATAATGGGAAGTCAGAGACAGAGCCAGGAGAACATGCTCATTTATCATTTACCACTTCAGTTTGTTGTGATCATACTTACTCAATTCTGAATGAACGTGTTGTAGAGATCTAGCCAGCCAGTCATCCACACACACTGATCTCTATTACTTTAGATTGTTCACAGACAAGAATGGTTCATTATTTCCCTAGTATAACCATGCCACTGCTTTAACAAGGATGATGCGGCCTCCTGATACACTACATACCAGTATAATCAGACCTTTAACTCCCAACAACTTTCCCATTGTTGTAAAGCCATACCATTTAATCCCATCGCATGCTTAAACCTGCCTCTCTATCGGGGTAAGGTAACTGTCTTATGGTCAAACCAACCAACCAGCTAGTCTGCGGAGTCTCATGTGTATTTACCTGGGTAGCTGCCAGCCGTAATCAGCGAGATAAAAGCGTGTACATTTTATGTTTGCCGTTCCAATATACAATCCGTCCGACACCCTAGGTTCTGTCAGTCAGTGTTATTGATTACGCCCCTAAATCAATGGCTTACCCCGGCCCGTGTTACCCAGCCTTTCTTCTCAGCCAACCGACAAACACAAGGTATATGTAGCTAGGGTTTACACTCTGATGAATATAAATCTATATGTTTTATACGGGTATGGAATAGACTGTAAATCTTGTATTCAAAAGCTTTTTATAGCATCGAAGGAAGACTGCACAAGTTTTATATTGACTTGTATCTGTGTTCAGAAGCTTCATATTAATGAATAAAGCTACAACAGTTTATGAAAATTAAAACAACAGAATTTTTACTGTAGAGATTTAACTACGAGCATGGGGTGAAGAGTGAGCACTGGATTTGAATTGCGGAGGTGAAAAGTCATTGAGATAATATTAAGTGATTTACAACAGTGATACACATGTTCTCTCAACACTCCAACGACTAGGAGACAGTCATTGATAGCCTCAATGAGAGCGTAGTTCAAGATGATAAAGGAAATATAAACAAAATGGTGACATGTGCTTAAACTGATCGACAATTTTGATCCATAACCCGTCCAAGTGTGGAGCAGGGTTTATTTGTATGGGCTGTAGGTACTGTTGTACCGGGACATTGATCTCAACAGGCATGCAAAGCAAGTGGGCAACTATATAAACATAACTCTTATTAGCAAACACAGTATAAAATGTATGTATGTAAACTGTATTTAACATCTGCCAATGTCTGCCGCCGTCTTTAAAACAAGGGAGATAACTAGCCGTAAACTAGACGATGGCAACCTTTATTGAAATCACACTTATGATAGTGCCTTTATCATATCTTTATGTCGTGTTTTCAGTGTAATCATATTAACAAATAAAAGGCATTTCTTGATAAAAAGATTGTGTGATTTTTCATGTTTAGTATAAAAAGGTATACCCACAGCAATTTTGTTACGATTTCAATGTTAAGGAGACAACCGTTAGTAATGCAGCAATTGTCACACAGTTTAGATACACACATCAGCTCTTAAGTAAAATCAGCTGGGCAAGGCATCACACTCTATCATTTCCTTAAACAGTGAGAATTAAAACAAAATGCTTAACTCAAGCTTCCTTCCAACATCTGGTTCATTATCTTTTTAAAATAAATACCTACAAGAGGACATAACTATGTACAAAAAACATTCATAATACCCTAGGAAGATACAGAAAACTGACCCATTTATGCAGTTATGATTTCCCCCTCTTTCCGACATTACTTTTGGCTTGTTTTTTGGAGTTGATACAGAATGAGGCCTTGCCTGACGCTGTCTAGACTACGTCCACATACCTTTAGCTGGGCAGACTTTTCCACGACAGCTACGTCTGCAGCTTCTATCTTCTCAAGCTCGTCCACAAAATTGGCCAGATCCTGGTCCATGTCAGTCTGCTGCTCCTGGAGGTCGCGGTTACACTGGAGAGCTTGTTCCCTATCCTCTAGAAGATTTTCAATTTGCCCGAGAAGTTCTTCCCAGTCCTCACGCACTGCACGCATCACTGGGTCCACAAGGGCAGGGTTGTGCTGGGTCAGTTCACGGTACCGGTTCAGGAACGCATCAATGGCTGGTCCTCGCCCTTGGACCTCTTCTCTCAAAGCCTGTAATCATAAAAACAGGTCTATTTACAACACGACAACAATCAATACTGAAGTAACGTGGTTTGTGAAACAACATTTAAACAAAACTCCTCATCTTTATTTCTTATGTGAGTTAGAATTAAGACACAACACAGTCTGGTACTTAATGGTTTCCCCACCTCTATCTACAGTGTGGGTGTTTGTAAAGACCAAAACAAGATAACATCCCTTTGTTAAGGGTTTTGTCCAGCAGTATCCTGTAACAAACATGAAGCCCTATATGTCCAACTGACAAATGCTACGTCATACCTCAACACAAGCAATAAGTAATCGTCACATGACTCCCGAATCTAAGGTTTGATACACTAGCTGCATCAGTTTTACAACTGTCAGTGAGCTGTCCAGACATACCCCCAAACTTTCCGATTCAAGTCACCTTCTCATCTAAGGTTGGTCCTCTAAGAACACTGAACACACCATCAGAGGCCTATCACTCCAGTGTAACTCAGCTTCTGCCCCCTTAGTAATTACGTTTTTGGCCAGGCCTATGTCACTTTGTCGAGACTTCAAAGTTCCTGATTAGGTTATGTGCAGCATGTGTGAGTACCCTTAGGTTGCCAAACATTGTTGTATGAATAAATGCTATGAATCTAAACTCCTGTTATTTTTGTTGTATCATAAATGTGAATTTTATGCTAAGTATGGGGGTGGACAAAAAAAATAAAAAATTGAAAAAATTGATGATTATGTCAGTATTACAACATAAATTTCTCTGAAGACTTGCCCCAAATTTCTAATATATATATATCATGATCTTGAAAGCTTTTACCTGTAAATTTGCGATTTCCAGCTCGGCTGCCTCAGCATGAAGTTTAGCAGGTCGCTGCTCCATTTCCTGGAGGTTCTCCTGTTTGCTGTGCAGCCAGTTCCTTAGGTCAGTCCTCTGACGATCAACAGATTCCCACTGACCAATCGTATCCCTCACGTTTTCCATCCGCTTCTCAACCTGGAGCACAGTGGAGTGGCCATGAAATATTGCTATCACTTATCTCATTAGCCATACAGGTATGGCTTTTGTACTGTGAACGGTTCCATGGGTATTTTTTCAAGTGATGAATGTAATTTTTATCAATTTTAGGATACATAGATGACAAAAGAAATTCAATTACCTGTGATATGGCTTCTTTGAGTTCAGAGTTAACTTGATCAGCAAGCTGTGACATTGGCGATGGCAGCTCCTTGTCACTCTGGTCAAGACTGTCCATGCTACCCAGATTGTCACAACGATGACATGCGTTCGCCATTTCTTGTTTCAACCCATTCAATTTCTCCCACATTGTCTATAGGGTAAAAAAACACAATAACAATAAAGAGATGTTCTATAACATATGAAAGAAAAAGAAATCAAATGTAGGAAAAGGCCCATTGGTTCTGAAGACCCTCCCCTGATCAATGTTACCTTTCATTACAAACTTTTAGCATTCCATAACAACAAGTTACTGGCAAATAATCATCGTCCTAAGCCTTTTGGTTCCTCAGGAGAAGGCATTCAAGTTTTTTGACAAATCAGACCTTTATGCCCTTAACTATATGTCCAGATTATTTCAATTCTCAAACCTTAAACACTCCAAACAAGTTACTGGTCAAATATCATGACTTAAGGTCTTTCTGCTTTTCAGAAAAAATAATTTAGTTTTAAATAAGTTTCACCCCTGTGATCTTGAATATTGGACAAGGTCATTTCTTTTTGCACACTTTGTAGCACTCCATACAAAGAAAGATACTGGCCAAACATCATGGCTGTAGGTTTTTCCATTCTTCAGAATAATTTGTTTAATTTTTTGTGTTTAAATTTGACTCCCATGACCATGAATATAGTTTTTGCAAACTTTGTAGCACTTCCTGTCAGCAAGTTACTGATAAAATATCATGAAACTGAGGATGTTGTTCCTGTATTCAGAAAAAGTATTTTAACAAATTAGACCCCTATGACTATAAAAATGGGTCATGGTCATTTCATGTTTTACTCTATACAAGTTCCTGGACAAATATCGCAACTCCAGGTCTTTCTACTCTTCATCAGAAGTTAACAAATTTTACCCTGTGACCTTAAATATACATCAAGGTCATTTCTTTATGCAAATTTTGTAGCACTTATGCAAGCAAGTTATTAACCAAATGTCATGACTGTGGGTTTTTCCGTTCTTCAGAAGAATCCCCCCCCCCCTAATTTGACCCCTATGACTTTGAATATATGTCAAGGTCATTCTTCTTTCCAAATTTTGTAGCACTCGTAGTCTTTCTATTATTCAGAGGGAGTTATTTAGAAGATGGTAAAGTGTTTTCACAGATCTGACCCCTTGTGACCTTCGATATGAGTCCAGGTTATTTCTATATGCAAACTTAGTAGCACTCTAAGCCATCAAATTACTGGCAAAGTATCACAATGTTAGGTATTTCTATTATTCAGAAGTTGACCCCCCTTGGACTTCGAGTCGCCTTTGGCCAAGGATGCTATGATCTAAATCAGTGTAGGTTTGGATCCATGTGATTGTACCCATACTCAAACAGTTGAAATGTTTAAAGATTTACCTATGTTTCCCTTCATAGACCCTGCCCCTCTCCCCCCAGAGGGGCCACACCTTTCATTTCTACGATGTTAAGCTCCCATAGCCTAACTATGCTCCCAACCAAATTTAGTAAAAATCCATTCAGCCATTCTAGACTAGTAGTCTTTTAAGTGAAAAGTCGACAGATGGACAATAGATGCCAAACCATGACCTAAGGTCACTTGCCCTAAGGAAAGGTGAGCTAAAATTACTACTGGCAAGGATACACCATAGGGTGTGTGCCATGTCTGGTAGAATGAACTTCAATTCTGAATAATGCTTGACAACTTTTTTTATCACTAGTTACAGGAAAACCTAACTTGATGATTTTACTAGTTTTTGTTTAAGCTCTTTTATGTTATACAAATTCTTCACACAATCTGGCAATAATATGGAACATAGGAAAGGGGATGTAAGGCCAAGTTCGTTGAATCAATAGATGGTAATGAAGAGTTAAGAGTACAAACCACTGTGAACAATTCACCTGAATTCTAAGTGACTTGTTACAACATTTTCCAGCTATAACATTTAACCTGTATCTTTGGTCACTGGAGTTAAACAGGACTCAGATACCATCCATACCCCTTAACTTTAGAGGCCACAAACTAAGAGAGTAAAATAGAAGGTCTATATTGACAGAAATAGAGCAATCTACAAAATTACCAGTTAATAAAATAAATGTATATCAAAAATGTCTATTTTACAACAAATTTAGAATCATTCATGACAGAAACTCTGTGCCTTCTTGACTTCAAGGGAATTACAACTTACCCTTATGTTGTCAAGTTTGTTCTGAGCAACCTGTAGGTTATCAGGCACCTGAGCATCACAGTCTCCAAGCCAACGAGGGAATTCTTCATTAAGGTAATGGTCATTTTTGTCAAGTAGATCCTTGTAGTCCTGCCAGCGCTGCATGACATCACCAAGTCGATTCTGTGCAAAGAGTGACCATCACAGGTCAAAGACAATGTAACCTGATCTACAAACTGACCTCTACAAGGTACTGCATTCATAATGGCTGAACTTACCAATTGGTATACAGTGTAACATAAAATTAATTGATGACCTGTTGACTGGTAGATGGCACTAACTGATGACCTGTATATCAGTGTTATATGATACTAATTAATGGCCTTAAAACCAGTGTAATATGGTACTAATTGATGACCTGTATACCAGTGTAATATGGTTATAATTGATTGCCTGTATGCCTGTGTAATATGGTACTAATTGATTACCTGTATACCTGTGTAATTTGGTATTATTTGATGGCCTGTATACCAGCGTAATATGGTACTTATTGATAGCCTTTAAACCAGTGTAATATGGAACTAATCAAAAGCCTTTAAACCAGTGTAATATGGAACTAATCGATTGCCTTTAAACCAGTGTAATATGGGACTAGCTGTTGGCCTGTATACCAGTGTATTATGGTACTAGCTGTTGGCCTTTATACCAGTGTAATATGGTATTAATTGATGGCCTTTATACCAAAGTAATATGGTATTAATTGATGGTCTGTAAACCAGTGAAATATGAAACTAATTGATGGCCTGTATACCAGTGTAATATGGTATTATTTGATGGTCTGTATACCAGTGTAATATGGTACTAATTGATGACCTGTATACCAGTGTAATATGGTACAATTTGATGACCTGTATACCAATGTAATATGGTATTATTTGATGGTCAGTCAGAAGAATCAATATGGTATTATTTGATGGTCTGTACACCAGTGTAATATGGTACTAATTGATGACCTGTATACCAGTGTAATATGGTATTATTTGTTGGCCTATATACCAGTGTAATATGGTACAATTTGATGACCTGTATACCAGTGTAATATGGTACTAATTGGTGATCTGTATTCTAGTGAAATATGGTACTAATTGATTGCCTTTATACCAGTGTAATATGGTACTAATTGATAACCTGTATACCAATGTAATAAGATACTAATTAATGACCTGTATACCAATGTAATAAAATACTAACTAATGACATGTATACCAGTGTAATATGGTATTAACTGTTGGCCTGTATACCAGTGTAATATGGTATTAACTGTTGGCCTGTATACCAGTGTAAGAATTATGATACTTATTGATGGCTTATATACTTGTGAAATATGGTACTAATTGATGGCCTGTATATACCAGTGCCTTTTGATGGCCTGCATACCAGTGTAATATAGTACTATTTGATGGCATGTATACCAGTGTGATATGATGTTAATTGATGGCATGTATACCAGTGTGATATGATGTTAATTGATGGCCTGTATACCAGTGTAATATGATACTAATTGATAGCCTGTATACCAGTATAATAGGATACTAATTGATGGCCTTTAAACCAGTGTAATATGGTACTAATTGATGGTGTGTATACCAGTGTATTATGGTACTAATTGATGGCCTGTATACCAGTGTAATATGATACTAAGTGATGGCCAGTATACCAGTGTATAATGGTACTAATTGATGGCATGTATACCAATGTAATATGGTACTAATTGATGGCCTGTATACCAATGTAATAATATATTAATTAATGACCTGTATACCAATGTAATAAGATACTAACTTATGACCTGTATACCAGTGCAATATGGTACTAATTGATGGCATATATACTAGTGAAATACAGTACTAATTGATGGCCTGTATACCAGTGTAATATGGTACTAATTGGTCTGTATACCAGTGTATTATGGTACTAAATGATAGCCTGTATACCAGTGTAATATGGTACTAATTGATGGTCTGTATACCAGTGTATTATGGTACTAAGTGATAGCCTGTATACCAGTGTAATATGATACTGATTGATGGCCTGTATACCAGTGTAATATGGTACTAATTGATGGCCTGTATACCAGTGTAATATGATACTAAGTGATAGCCTGTATACCAGTATGATATGATACTGATTGATGGCCTGTATACCAGTGTAATATGGTACTAATTGATGGCCTTTAAACCAGTGGAATATGGTACTAATTGATGGCCTGTATACCAGTGTAATATGATACTAATTGATAGCCTGTATACCAGTGTAATATGGTACTAATTGATGGCCTTTAAACCAGTGTAATATGGTACTAATTGATGGCCTGTATACCAGTGTAATAATTATGATACTAATTGATGGCCTGTATACCAGTGTAATATGGTACTAATTGATGGCTTGTATACCAGTGCCTTTTGATGGCCTGCATACCAGTGTAATATAGTACTTATTGATGGCCTGTATACCAATCACTATCAATGAAAACTGCAGATCAATAGGCATACAAATGTTTACTTTTGAGACTGAAAAAAGGCTGACCAACATCCATCTTGGATTTTTATAGTAGGGTTTATTATCTCTGAAAGTATTGGAGGGATCCTTCTCAAATTAAATATGTATGTTCCTTTTGTTAAAAATACCCCTGGCCCTAATGATAATTAATCTGTTTGAGAGAACCTCTTATATATCAGAATTAAACATTTGAAGCATTTTGCATATATTTCTGCAATTCTTATACACCATGGTGGCATATACCACAACATTGCTAGGTGGAAGTTAATGTACAAGACTCCCATTTTGGATTTCTAGCATAGGTGGTAGTACCTGTAAGGAGGTGGAGAGCAAAGAATTTAAATATTGTCTTTTATAGGTCTCATAAAGATCCTTTGATGTTGGATGCAAACCTCCTTCTAGGATGATCTCCCTTGTTTCTTCATTTACAACTACAGACCAAAGGGAACTGACATTTTCAGTTTGAGAAAAATCCTTCCATAAATTTCTGAGAAATAGTAAAAACAAACCTTTACTGCTAAAATCAAGATGACTATCTGCCAGCCATTTTGTTTATCCGATCAGTCACAAAAGTAAACATGCACAACAAGAGACCAAGGTTAATCTACATATGAAATGAGAGAAACATCCCTCGCGAATTTTCCGAGAAACAGCGACAACAAGAATTGTTGAAGTAAGGGATGACAGACGGACCATGGACGCAAGGCGATTTGAAGAGCCCACCAACTGATGATGGTGTGCTAATCATCAAAAATAAATCTTCAATTTCATTTGATTTAATACTTTATTAAATATTTAAATATATGAGACATGATCCTGTTTAAATGTTGTAATACTGCTAGTCTATCATTGTCTATCACTGTATACAAGTCTATCACTGTCCAATCAGACAACACACCATTACCAAACAGCTGTAATCTTCAAACTGTTTTCAGATAATATCGCCATTTTGATTTTAAATTTTAAAAAAATCCACATTATAGAGGATGAAAAATTAATTTCAATTTTTGAAAGATACATGATTTTGAGATTCTTAGGCAGTGTTAAAATAAAATGGTCTTTTAAAAAGCATTGAAAAGCTTTTGGAATGGTTAAAAAACCTTTCAAATGATATACTAAACTTATAAGAGCTGGAAGAAATTTTACATAGAATTTGAATCATTTCAATGGCAACATATCTCAAATGAGCGAAATGAGGTCTAAATTTGGGTACATTAAGGCTCATCATGGAAGGCACAACCTAGGGCTCAACAGTAACATTGGTAAACAACCTAAAAACATGGTTCTGCAATGGAATGTGACATTTATAATAATACATACATTTAGCGCCATATATGAGTGGCAAGTTTTCATGGTGAATCCTACAGGTGAAAAATATCTGGTGCTCGTTAGAACATTCAATCATGCATGGAGGTTGATGAAATTGATTAAAACGTGAGGACAAATATCACAGAGGTCAAGGTTAAAAGGGTCAACATTGGACCTAAAAGGACGGGGCATTCCCACGGACACATGCAGGTAAGATTCTGTTAGCAACCCAAACCAGACAAACACAGTTGTTAAGTAGTGTTACTTGAACCAACTTTTCTCAGGCACAACAGCCGAAGGTTCAAACATCAGTACAAATAAAATCTTGGCAACATAACACATAAACTGGCAAATATAAAAGTCCCTAACACACACATATAAAACTACAACATCATGTATAAATAAAATACTGAAAAATATAAAATCTTCTCTGGACGGATGCAACACGTGATAGCTCTAAACAGTCTATCGATAACAAATTTCCTATCAACGCCGTTACGTACAGGTGTAAGCACCAAACATAATTTGATGAAAATATTGATATAAGTAACATTATATAATTTACATGATAATAAATACTATTGGCTATTTTACACACACTTGTGATCTGACAATGGCCACTCGGACAGATCACATGGGACCACCGCTGGAATGGCACAGAGAACAGCTAACGAGAGAATAATCTCCAGGTAAAATATCAGAATAGAATGTAGATAATATACACCTTACACATAGTTCTATCACATTTTTTTGATATCACAAGTTTTTTTTCCCCTGAACATTTGGAATGTTTGCAAACAAAAGTGTAAAAATGTCCAGTGTCCACATGTATCCATGGTTTCCATAAAACACTGTTCCATCCCTGGAATCCTAGAAAGTGAGCCTGCCTCCAGGTGAAATAATTATTGTTGGTACACAAAGGTCACAGAGTACACTGTCATGGTATCACTTATATCTGTAGGTCATCACATAGCAACAGCTGTCTTCAGCAGAGTTTGTGGTTATCAGTTTGGAAGCAAATGACATGAAAGTCATCGATGGAGTGTAAGAACTAACCGAAGTGTGGCGGAGTTACCCGGAATGACCAGAGGTGACCGGAGTGACCAGAGGTGACCGGGGACTGATCAGGTCAATACCAGTAGAGATCAATGTGATCCAAAACTACCTGTGAAGGAGATTAACAAAGAGTCTCACTCACAACCTCAACATGTCTTAAATGTACACACACAGTTCCACAAGTAAACATCACTAATTGGCTCCCTAATTAGACATTCAAATGACAACAGAGGTGGATCCAAGGCAACCCAAAGCTGAACTGAAGCATTCTAGGTTACTGACAAAAAGTTAAAATCACCACACAAAAAATACTCATGTAAAGACAAAAAACTTGCGCTCTATGAAATTATAAAATTATTAAGCAATAATTTAGCATGAAGTAGATTTCTTACATCTAATAAGACTAGGACTGTATTTAAGCCTGAACCATGAGTACAGCCCAGATTAACCCTGATCCACTGCTGTCTATTTGGTTTACGTTTCAATTCCTGAATTAACAATGAAAGCATCATTATACCAGTAATATTCACCCACACACTTACTAGCAATGAGGCTGGGTTGAAAGCTAGGAATTAATCAAAAGTGTAGGCAGGGTCTAATTTTCCTAGCAAATGCATGGTATTAATTGGTGATAAAACTTTCTGATTTCTGATAAAGAATACTTTTGTAAAGTAGAATATTTCTTCATGACTTTAAACTAATCTTGATTAACATACAAAACAATAACTGAATAGCAGTTTTACTGAACCTCGTTCTGCGAGGGGGTAAACATTTTTGACAATCCTTCACCTGATTAAGATGACAGTGGATCCAGAACACTACTCTCTTCTAATGTGCTTTAAAAATGAAAATTGAATTTGTGCAAGTGACGTTATCAAAAGTAGAAAATCAGAACAAACCTACAATAATCAGTTTGCTTTTCACCTGAGAGATTATCAATATACCTAAAATCTTAAAACAACAAGATCTTTTGATCAAACAACGGAAGTCAAAGAGAAAAAACTCTGTGAAACGAACAAAAAAGAAAAATACGAAACTTTTTGTACTGTTTTCAATCTTTTGGTAATAAAATATTTCAAACTCTTTGCAAGAAAACAAAGGTAAACCAAACTTGGGGGCAAACAGAACAGGTGCTCTAGAAGTAAAGCAAAGGATGGCCAATCCAAACCCAAGTACAAAACAAAGATGAGATAACATACGACTCACAGTAACAACAGACTCACACCTTGTCAGGTAGGCACTATAATGGTAGCTACGATAGAGAAGATTTCACTAACTAGAGAAGGTATGGTACGGTATTCCGGTTAACAATACTACCAACTAGGGCTAGGATATAAAACAAGAGACAGAGTAAGATATCCGATATATATCTGTAGCAGCAGACACTAATTAGTGGTGGTTGACACCAAAGTCAAAATATATAAACTCGGGAAAAATAGTTATTCAACAGCAATTTTAATTTCTTTGACAAACTAATGTTATTGTAACAGAATGCCAAACAAGTAGTTGATGATGTGAGAAATGCATTNGGGGGGGCATCACAGAAACCTACAAACGTCAGGCAAGCATATACAGAACAGGACACCAACATGCTTAAGCTCTGTTTATCAAAAATGTATCTATATATCTATAAACAGTCTTCATTATCTCATGAAATATCTTACAAGTTAACAATCATATTTAAATCAGAGGCAAAAGAAAAGAAAAGGTAGGAAGGATTTATGTCAGAATACAAAATTAATTTCAGGATACTTAAAAAATATGTACATTTTGAGTCGTAGCAATATACTTTTACCCTAGACTTTACATCATGTTACCAAGGCAACTAACAGTCCCTGCAAAAAACATTGACCCCTGACACATGACCCCACATGACCCCTTTGACCATCCTTTGTGTGCATGTCTTCCAGGCTTTACTTACAAACTTGACCCTCCATAACATGTCTGTTCTCTACACAAGCATTAGCTGTTTCACCTGTAGGATTCTACTTGACGACCGATCACTGACCCTAAGGTCATGTCAAGGTCACTATGGCTGCGAGCCCTAGGTTGAGCATTTACACTAGAAATGTTACTGCTGGTGCGTAAGATGATGATGATGTGAGACTAAGAGCTGATGGAGAATGGTGCATCCCTGACTTTTACACTTTGACATAAAATTCACCAAATATATTCATAACCGTATCATTTAATTAGCCAAAATTATAATTAAAATATATAGAATCACAATCAACTGTGTTGCTTAACTTTTCTTACAACAAAAAAAGTATATTTGGTGAAGTCAAAACTTCTTACAACAAAAAAAGTATATTTGGTGAAGTCAAAACTTATCAAATTTTGTAAACATTTAAAAAGTTCATCTTGCAAATTTAAATCTCAAAACACAGTTCTAAGTTAAACTGTAAACATTTGTTTAAAATTTAAAGAATACAGAGCAATAGTGAAGATGAGGATCGCTCTCTACACATGCATAAAGATTAAACACACTCACCCTGATCTGCTCGGCTGTTGTTTGTAAGTTGAGATAACTTTCCTCCAAATTCTGCATCTGTGACTGGACCTGTTGTGCCATCTTAGGCACTCGGACATTGTCCTGGACCAGATTACGACCCCGGTTGGACACCTCGTCCAGTGTTGACCTGTATGTCTCTATATCCTTGATCAGGCCCTGGGATATGAACACAACCAAATTATAAACATTAGTATGAAAAAATAATTATCACTTTCAAATACGGAAAAAGTTTTTTGTGTGACTCGGCAAGAGTGTTATTAGAAACCTTACCCAGTGGTTCAACCAGTTGTTGGCCCTAATGACCTATCCTGTGTTGATGGGTCGTTAAGCATTGATGATAATAATAATAACTTACCCGGTGTTTGTCGATTTGTCGCTGTGTAAGTTCCATGGTGCTGACATTGAGGGAGTTGTGGGACATCAGTTTGAATGACGTCTGTAGCAGCCATTTCTCGCTGTCCTGCTGAGCCTCGTGGAAGTCGAGGTGATCGTGGTAAGCTTGCTCCAGATGGGCCACAATCTCCTGTCAATGTAAACACAATGATCATCTCTGTGGTACACTCAACAAATCCCTATAAACGTTTTATTATCACCTAATTATTCCTCATCTCAAGTCAGATTTAGGTACCAGATAATTTCCCAAGGATATTTGAAATACACTATTCATTTCATGGCAAACATCTTTAACACACCACAGATGTAGGCACTGATGGTAATGGAAACTTGTACATTTTAGAGAAATAGTTGACACACGGAACATTCCCTGCAACAAGAGCAGGTTTTATACCCGTCATTATCAGGCAATGATAGGGGAAGGAGGGGTTAGCCCTACCTGTACTCGGGTGTGGACTCTGTCGTATCGGTCGCGAACGTTAGCCAGGGTATCAGCCACCTCCTGGTTCTCACTCAGAGCCTCTAGATTAGCAACACGTTCTGCTAACTCATTGACGAGGCGGTTGTGGTTTTCAACATCACTCATCACCAGCTGGCAATACAAACATTATCACACACTGTTCATCTTGTACAATTTTATACGCTCAAACTTTTGTTGTCATGTTATATAACGGGGTCATGATCTACTGGTATAAAATAGCACACTCCAGGAATGTAAATGCATGCTTTACCAGATTTGTATTTCAAAATCTTATGAAATTGATAATTTTGTAATCAAAATATTCTACCTAAGTGTAAGTGTATAAGGTAAGAGACTATACAGTGGAAGCACGCCAACTTGATTATTGGTTCATTGGGACTACCACTCATAGTTTGTTAACTTCAACAAAATAATAAAATATACAATTTACTACTCCCGTATTGCAGACAGACTATCTTCACGAATTTAGATAAATTGTAGTTGGTTTTAAATTTAAAATCTCTATAGTAAAACATGTTTACAAGGAACTCTATAGAGGACTTAACATGTAAGTAAAATGTGACAATATTTTGTTCAGGACAAAGTAAACAGTTTGTTGGGAAATTCACCACACCAGTATTTTACTATATTTATGTATTTTGCAATACTCACCTTGAATTTGTCAAGTTGTGTCTTTTTCTCTACAAGCTGGGCCCGTGGTTCGGGGTCCATGGCCAGCTGGTTCTCCATGTCCGCAAGCCATTTGATCAGACTGCCATAATACTCCTCATAATCATTCCAGCGATCCTGAACCCCCTCCAACATGGCTGAACACTCGGAGATAGCCTGGTTCAGTTTCTCCCACTCGTTTGTCAGCTCTGTCACCTGTTGTTCAATGATCCGCTTACCATCAGATGATGTGTTGGGTAGAATTCTCTCAGCAAGGTCACAGACCAGGTTCACCTTTCTCAGTCCCTCGTCCATGTTTGTTGTAATGTCCTGTTGTACACATCATACACAATGTGTTAGTATCCCATTAACACAGTACACATCATACACAATATGTTAGTATCCCATTAACTCAGTACACATCATACACAATGTGTTAGTATCCCATTAACATACAACAGTTACTCAGTAGACAGATCATCAATATAGAAACATTATGTATAATCATCATCCATATCAAGTTTTTATAATTTGTTATTTTTACCAACCAAACAACTGTGTACTGCATTTCTAATTTTATCTCAGACTCTTTGTTTCTTCTTCTGATATTTTGATTAAAGCTGTAAATCCCAGCTGGACATTATCATGGGTCATCTTTGTCCATCAATTACTCTATTTACAGTTGGACGCGTGTATTTCTCGAGGAATCTGTCTGCTGGGTAACCCAGGACTCCACTTAACACTTTGTTTGGACGTAGGATTTCCCACAGTCCCCATCATCATATTTAGGTCCGTTATTGAATGGGAGACAATAAACTAATCGTACGTTGGTAGCCTCATTATTAAAATAGCAATCAAACTTGACACTTATTTGTCAATGTGAATGTGCAGACCCAATTTGGTTGAAATTGAACCAATTTTAGAGAGGTTATATCTCAGAAACCAAGTCTGACATACCGACACCCAATTTAAGATCACCTGTTTTCTCCAAAAGTGTGGGATATTAGCCTTTGCAGAACATTAAATTTGCTTATTATCTCAGTACTAGACTAGTCGTAAGACCTCCATTTTAAACAGATAATTTGTTCTAAAATCAATAAATTTATTTTTCTTATAAAGGACCAAAAGTTCTAATAATTTATATTAAGTCAGTGAGGTAATTCTACCTTGATATCATCCATTCGATCCTGAACGGCATGCCAGTCACCTGACGTGTCGTTACATACAGTGACACGCTCATCAACTTCTGACAGCCAATCAGCAGCCTCGTCGAAGGCTGTGTTGTAACTTTTGTGGTCTTTGGCGTTCTCTGACAGTCTATGTACCATTCCCTGTTGAGACGATTGACAAACATGTTGACTACGTATTCCTGTTATACATCAGTGAGATTTATCTTTTAATGGGAAAACATTCAATTTATTCTCAAATACTGTTACATCTGCAAATATTTCTTACTGTATCAATTTTACCTTGAACAGGAGATTAAACATCCAACCAAAGCTAGGCCTGACAAACTTAAAACATAGATGTTACAGTTCAGCTATATAACCCATTCCTAACACCAATACAGACCTTGGCGGCAGACACAAGTCCTTGGTACTTTGCCGAGAGTAGCATCATGTTGTTTGACACCCGTGGATCAGAGCTCCTCTGTGATACAGCATCTGTCCTGTCCTTGACGTGGTCCAGAGCCGCCTTCCTCTTCAGGACCTCATCAAAAACATCCTGTAAACAGAACGTACATTGGAGACACGACATAACACATTACAGGTCTCAGAATTTCAGAATAGAAATGGTTTCTAGTCAGTTCATCAATTTTTTTATCATAAAATTTCTTATATTCATTAACATATTAACAAAGTTGCTGACCTCTGCCTCCATGAGCTGCTGTTCCTTGTGTTGCTGGTCCGGCTTGTTCTCTTGCAGTCCTTTGACCTTTCCTTCCATTTTCTCAGCCCACTGGTGGAAGCGTTGGTATTCCTCATCAAGTTCTAGCCAGTTTCCGATGCATGCCTCTAGGTTAGCCTCCATCTCGTTAACAGACGAGGCGAAAGCATTCCAGTCTTCCTTCAGGTTGGTCAGTTCCTTGTGTATGGCGTCCTGTCCCCGCGGAGCCGTTGTCTGACACACACGCTCACCAAGCTGTGTGGCATTGTTTACCATGTCCTGACCCTGTCGCATCTCACCCTTGAAGTCCTAGGAAAGTGAAAATGGAGGTTTGTTTTATTGAGAACATATTTAAATTGTAAAAAGAGATTACCAAAGTTCACAAATATTTGTTTTGCTTGTGAATTCTTCCTCAAATATAGAATTATAATAATTTGACACCTTGCTTATCACCAACATATTTCAAGTTCCTTTAATTATGTTTTTCTGAAGAATTCCTTTATACATTTCCCTCAATCTATCGCCAAATCCCTTTATAATGCCAACATTTCTTTGAACAAATGCTGGCAATATAACAAGGTTTTGCTGTACCTAACCATGTTGTACATTACAAAAGAAGAGATGACCAGACAGTGTGAAATAGACAACAGGGTGGTGATCCAACACTGCACAAAAAACTATAAAGTTATAAAGTTTCGTTGAAATCGGATAAAGAGGTGTAGTCTCAACAAGCTGTTATCCATGGACCAACAGACAGACAGACAAGCTGTTTCTAGCATACTTCCAACTTTACTGCAGAGGTTATTGTAAATGTATAATTTTCTTATTGATTCACAAAACATCTTGAGACCAAAAATCTTCAAAGTGACACCTTTTTGACTGAAAATTGATGAAAATTCTGTTTTGAGTTATATTGCTATACTGTGGTTTCATTTCTAATTGTTCTTTTAAATTACATTTTCTATGATGCCTGAAATGTCAATCACTTGTTTGTATACAACATTCTAGCCGCCAAAGAAAGTTACCTTGAGCTGCTGAAGTCTGTCCTGTAGTGTCCGTCGATCCCCGGAGTAGTCACTTAGACGTTGGAGACGGTGTCGGTTGTTGGCGAGCCAGTCGAGACAGGCTATATAGGAACGCCTATACTCCTCATGGCTCTGTACTTGTTCCTCCAGACGCTCAGTCATCTCCTAAAATTGAAGGTCACCCAAACATTTCACTTGCAGACAATGACAGCAAATTTTTTGAGAATAGGAAGCCCAGCATACAACAATATCACATTGTGATGTCATCAAACAACAATATCACATTGTGATGTCATCAAACAACGATAACATTGTGATGACATCAAACAACAAAATCACATTGTGATGTCATCAAACAACAAAATCACATTGTGATGTCATCAAACAACAATATCTCATTGTGATGTCATCAAACAACAATATCACATTGTGATGTCATCAAACAACAATAACATTATGATGACATCAAACAACAATATCACTTTGTGATGTCATCAAACAACAAAATCACATTGTGATGTCATCAAACAACAATATTTCATGACATCATATGATACACAAAAACATAGCATTATAGACATGTTTTAGAAGAAGCCAAAGAATTTATTTATAATTAAAAATTTGCTGAATACAATATATGTATTAATAAGTGCAAGAAGCACAAAAGGCCCAGAAGGCCTGTATTGCTCACCTGACTTCTTAAGAAAACCACAGGAAATCCTTTTTCATAACAAGAGGCCCATGGGCCTTAACGGTCACCTGAGTCTATAGTATTTATTTTTGTTGTTGAAATATGTACCAATTTGAGTAAAAAATAGTATAATGTTAACTTAACTTTGTCAGGACCATGAGCTGATCATTCCTAGACCAATTTTAAGTGAGATCGGCCTATTAGAACTTAGTAGCAAAATAGCGGCCATGGCAGCCAAATTGTATTTCTGATTGACCCGAAAAATAACAACACTTTGTCAGGACCATGAGGCGATCATTCCTACCAACTTTCAGTTCAATCGGTCCAGCAGAACTTGACTTTAAGTTTGAAATAGGTTTTCAAAATGGCGGCCGTGGCGGCCATATTGGATTTCTGATCGACCCGAAAAATAACAACACTTTGTCAGGACCATGAGGCGATCATTCCTACCAACTTTCAGTTCAATCGGTCCAGCAGAACTTGACTTTAAGTTTGAAATAGGTTTTCAAAATGGCGGCCGTGGCGGCCATATTGGATTTCTGATCGACCCGAAAAATAACAACACTTTGTCAGGACCATGAGGCGATCATTCCTACCAACTTTCAGTTCAATCGGCCCAGCAGAACTTGACTTTAAGTTTGAAATGTAAAATGTTAACGGACGACGGACGACGGACGACGGACGACGACGGACGAAAACGGATAGCAATAGGTCACTTGAGCTAAAGCTCAGGTGACCTAAAAACCTAACGTTGCAAATATTTTCCAATTTTGGCCGCCTCTCATCAGCATTTAGGGAGGCAAGACAATTGATTTCTACACTATTTGATACCCTGATCCAGAAGATGCCTTACAGTAAATTTGGTTCAAATATGATCAACTGTTCAGGGGGAGTAGACCTTCAAATAATTGAACATCCAAATGATCTTGTTTTGTGCTAAGTCCCCAGGGGAGCCATAGTCTTCCCTTACACAGTTGATTCTCAAGTCAAAGGGACCAAAGATTCTTCATTGGGAATAGGATTTAAATCTGTATGTATATGTGTGGATATGGTTATAGGGAGCAGATTTCAACTGTTTCAAGTTATAACTCACTTGGCCCTTTAAGCCAGCCGAGCTAGATATCAAAAGGAAAGAAATGATATGTCTATTTGATTGACATGATGAGGTAGAAGTAACACTGTTTTACTGGTTGAAGTTGCTTTACGCACCTTAGATTGATTAGCTGCTTTGTTGAAGCGAGAGCGGAGATTGGATGCCACACTTTGAGGACGTCCATCCCTCAAATGGGAAGATTTGTCCTCCAACTTGGCAAGAGCATCTTTGTGAAGAGCCACGTCTGCTTGTAATGCCTGGTAAATCAATCAAACAAGAGTTATCATGTCTCACTATATGCTGCCTGGTAAATCAATCAAACAAGAGTTATCGTGTCTCACTATATGCTGCCTGGTAAATCAATCAAACTAAAGTTATCATGTCTCACTATATGCAACCAAAAACTACATTACCATAAGGTTGCATTTAAAAAAATATAACTCATTAAATCTAAATGCAATTATCAAATAGCAAATTCCTAACAATTGGGTTAAATACAAATATCAAAACAATGTAATAGACACCTTATCATACATTGTAATAGACACCTTATCAAACATTGGAATAGACACCTTATCAAACATTGTAATAGACACCTGATCAAACATTGTAATAGACACATTATCAAACAATGTAATAGACACCTTATCAACCATTGTAATAGACACCCTATCATACATTGTAATAGACACCTTATCAAACAATGTAATAGACACCTTATCATACATTGTAATAGCCACCTTATCATACAATGTAATACACACCTTATCAAACATTGTAATAGACACCTTATCATACAATGTAATAGACACCCTATCAAACATTGTAATAGACACATTATCAAACAATGTAATAGACACCTTATCAAACATTGTCATAGACACCTTATCATACATTGTAATAGACACCTCATCATACATTGTAATAGACACCTTATCATACATTGTAATAGACACATTATCATACATTGTAATATACACCTTATCAAACATTGTAATAGACACATTATCATACATTGTAATAGACACCTTATCATACAATGTAATAGACACCTTATCAAACTTTGTAATAGACACATTATCATACATTGTAATAGACACCTTATCATACAATGTAATAGACACCCTATCAAACATTGTAATAGACACATTATCAAACAATGTAATAGACACCTTATCAAACATTGTCATAGACACCTTATCATACATTGTAATAGACACCTTATCAAACATTGGAATAGACACATTATCAAACATTGTAATAGACACCTTATCATACAATGTAATAGACACCTTATCAAACTTTGTAATAGACACATTATCATACATTGTAATAGACACCTTATCAAACATTGGAATAGACACCTTATCAAACATTGTAATAGACACATTATCAAACAATGTAATAGACACCTTATCAACCATTGTAATAGACACCCTATCATACATTGTAATAGACACCTTATCAAACATTGGAATAGACACCTTATCAAACATTGTAATAGACACCTGATCAAACATTGTAATAGACACATTATCAAACAATGTAATAGACACCTTATCAACCATTGTAATAGACACCCTATCATACATTGTAATAGACACCTTATCAAACATTGGAATAGACACCTTATCAAACATTGTAATAGACACATTATCATACATTGTAATATACACCTTATCAAACATTGTAATAGACACCTTATCATACATTGTAATAGACCCCTTATCATACATTGTAATAGACACCTTATCAAACATTGGAATAGACACATTATCAAACATTGTAATAGACACCTTATCATACAATGTAATAGACACCCTATCAAACATTGTAATAGACACATTATCAAACAATGTAATAGACACCTTATCAAACATTGTCATAGACACCTTATCATACATTGTAATAGACACCTTATCATACAATGTAATAGACACCTTATCAAACATTGTAATAGACACATTATCATACATTGTAATAGACACCTTATCAAACATTGTAATAGACACCTTATCAAAAATTGTAATAGACACATTATCAAACATTGTAATAGACACCTTATCAAACATTATAATAGACACCTTAACATATATTGTAATAGACACCTTATCAAACATTGTAATAGACACCTTATCATACATTGTAATAGACACCTTATCATACATTGTAATAGACACATTATCAAACATTGTAATAGACACCTTAACATTATAATAAACACCTCAACATACAATGAAATGGACACTTAAACATTGTAATATATACCTTATGAAACAATGTAATAGACACCTTAACATTATAATAGACACCTTATCAAACATTGTAATACAAATATTATCAAACATTGTAATAGACATCTACCTTGCTCTTTTCCAGACTTGACCGTTTTTCTGGGAGATCGGTACGGAGTACTGGGTCAGCTTTCAGTTTGGCCTCTACATCGGTCAACCAGGTGCTGAAGTGGTCATACAGACGATCAAAATCACCCCACTGGGTTAGTGCTGACTCGAGGTTACGCTTAGCTTGTGACACATCAGTTAAGAGATTCTCATAATCAAGTTTGGCCGTCTCTGTCTCCTGTTTCACAACGAGGCAGCCACGCTGGTTCGTGTTAGGTAGTACACGTTCGGAACATTCTAACAATGCTCGTAGATAGTTGTGTCCTTGGTCCATCGCTGCTTGTATCGCCTAAACAACAGATTACATAACTTATTTTTTGGTGATTTTTCAAGTGATCTTTAAATACTATCTACTTTTATAAAATGTAAACATAAACCTTGGAAAGAGGAATGCGTGGTAGCATTCCCACATCAATACTTTATGCAGTGAATATCACGACATGGAACCGAATCATTTGGCCAGATAAGAGTGTCAGTCAAATGACAAAGTCAGTCTTTCAGGGAAATCATGTGAAGATATGACAGGATGTCATTGAAATTAAGTATCGCTGAAATCCAAGAAAACAAGTCTTACAAGACCATTTCTGATTTTAGTTAAAGAGTTAATTCACATGTGATCAAATGACATTAACATTTCAGAGTTTCCTTAAAGATTTATTTTAAAAAGTTGATTCAGAAGCAGGACTACTTACATACATTATTTCTAATAGGCTGATCAAGCAATACTGTTATTGAGATAACACAAGGGGTTAACAAACGAGAAAACTTACAGAAATCTTGCTGATCTTGCTTCCAACATCATCTTTGGAACCAGCCGAATCCTGAACCTCACGCAGATTTTGCTGAGTGTTTTGAAGCCAATGCTGGAAGTCCTCCAAATTTTGTTTGTATGTCCGGTGATATTCAAAGTAGGCTTCTAGGTTCTTGACGATGTCCTTGGACAGAGCGATCACTCCCTGGTATCGTGTGGTCAGCTGGGTGATGGCATGTGATGTCTTGGCATCAGCATTGGTTTGGAGTAAAGCCTGAGCCTTCTCATTCACTTTGTCTAACGAGCTCTGCTTGGCCAATACATCCTCCAGGTAATTCTACAGGTAGACAGGTAAATCATATCTTTATAAACAATTTTATAGTAACATTCTCCTGGTAATTCTATATACAGTAAAACCCCACTAATTTGAACTCGCGCAAACATCAATGTCAAACATCATCGGAAAATAATACATATGCACACAACATGATAATGCAGCTACAACTGGGTAACAGGTACTTAGTGTTCTGCCGTTAATCCTCTGGTCCTCCGACGTTTGGCTGACACCCGTATAAAGTGGATGGGGATATATCAGATTTTGAGGAACACTGTTATTCGAGCAATGGCAGTTCGAGTACACAAGAGCACTGTCAAATAACTGCTGAGGATGTCATCTACCTCCCTCTCTATGTCCATATATTAACTCTACATATAACCAGGTTAATGAGACTGAAATTTCTCTCGTTATAACCAATTCTTACTACATAGAGGGGTCAACCAAATGAATCAGGGGAGGCAACTCCCACTCACCTACATTGAATCGTAACTACATAATGTTTATCAAAATTAACACATGGATGCCAAAAACAGGTGAAATTATATATTTCAATTTGATTTCAGCAGAATTCAAGCAATATTTCATTAGACAACACTTTCAAACAGAAAAGCTTTTAATTCCCAAAAGTTGTTCTGCTGTGAGTTTTAGAATCGGGCCGGATATCGGCAATCTGGCAATACTATGTTTAACACGCAAGGATAACACTGTAACAAACTCATTCACTACCTAATGTCAATCTTTCATCTTGGATTAAAAGTAAGGGAGACAATTTAATAGGGAACAAAAAAAAGCAGGAAAAATGTAAGAGGATAATGAGTCATTATCTTTTACCCAGGTATCTACCTTCTATATCAAACTGAAAGTTCAACATCCTGAAGTCAACAGCCATGCTATCTTACAATGCCTATATAAGGAAATACACACAAAAAACAGATTTTCAGTCATATATATTGATTTTTCTAAAATCTTGATAATGAATGAAAGATATGTGTGTATGTAAGACTGAAGTAACTTGGTGCCTGTGTATTGTATGTAACTTAGTGCCTGTGTATTGTATGTAACTTGGTGCCTGTGTATTATATGTAACTTAGTGCCCGTGTATTATATATAACTTGGTGCCTGTGTATTGTATGTAACTTAGTGCCTGTGTATTATATGTAACTTGGTGCCTGTGAATTGTATAAAACTTGGTGCCTGCGTATTGTATGTAACTTAGTGCCTGTGTATTGTATGTAACTTGGTGCCTGTGTATTATATGTAACTTAGTGCCTGTGTATTGTATTGTATGTAACTTGGTGCCTGTGTATGGTATTGTATGTAACTTAGTGCCTGTATATTATATGTAACTTAGTGCATGTGTATTGTAGGTAACTTAGTGCCTGTGTATTGTATGTAACTTAGTGCCTGTGTATTATATATAACTTAGTGCCTGTGTATTATGTATAACTTAGTGCCTATGTATTGTATGTAACTTAGTGCCTGTGTATTGTAGGTAACTTAGTGCATGTGTATTATGTATAACTTAGTGCCTATGGATTGTATGTAACTTAGTGCCTATGTATTGTATGTATCTTAGTGCCTGTGTATTATATATAACTTGGTGCCCGTGTATTGTATGTAACTTAGTTCCTGTGTATTGTATGTAACTTAGTGCCGGTGTATTATATGTAACTTGGTGCCTGTGTATGGGATTGTATGTAACTTAGTGCCTATGTATTGGATGTAACTTAGTGCCTGTGTATTCTATATAACTTAGTGCCTATCTATTGTATGTAACTTAGTGCCAGTGTATTATATGTAACTTAGTGCATGTGTATTGTAGGTAACTTAGTGCATGTGTATTATGTATAACTTAGTGCCTATGTATTGTATGTAACTTAGTGCCTATGCATTGTATGTAACTTAGTGCCTGTGTATTATAAGTAACTTAGTGCCTGTGTATTATATGTAACTTAGTGCCTGTGTATTATAAGTAACTTAGTGCCTATGTATTGTATGTAACTTAGTGCCTGTGTATGGTATTGTATGGAACTTAGTGCCTGTGTATTGTATGTAACTTAGTGCCTATGCATTGTATGTAACTTAGTACCTGTGTATTATAAGTAGCTTAGTGCCTATGTATTGTATGTAACTTAGTGCCAGTGTATTGTATTGTATGTAACTTAGTGCCTGTGTTTTGTATTGTACGTAACTTAGTGCCTATGTATTGTATGTAACTTAGTGCCTGTGTATGGTATTGTATGGAACTTAGTGCCTGTGTATTGTATGTAACTTAGTGCCAGTGTATTGTATTGTATGTAACTTAGTGCCTGTGTTTTGTATTGTATGTAACTTAGTGCCTATGTATTGTATGTAACTTAGTGCCTGTGTAACAGATGTAACTGGAGAAATAAAGACTACGTCTCAGCACCAATGTTTATATCTACTGTTGCTACAGGACAGTTCCTTCACCAGTAACAAATCCATCAAATCAATAACCAGCTATATTACCTATGTTATGGAAATTAGAATTTTCTGATTGGTCAGACACTTATATCTCAAAAAATATATAATTTTATTTAGAACATTCTTTCTTTAAATTAGTTTTTACCAGTCTTTCTGTTTCTATAATGGCTCACAATAGCTTTGAGATAAATATGTACTAAAATATAATAATAATTAGACACTTTTCAAAAGCAAAATACTGCTGTTCAGCTTTAATTTGAATATTGAACTTCAAAGAATACATATGAAGACAAATGAATTAAAAACATATTTCAAATTTTATGCAAAACTGAAGCTAACACATCCTCGATACTCCAGGGGTAACGCTCACTTTCACACTCTGCACCCCTAGAATATGTCAGGCTCACTAAGTCAGTGAGCACCACCTTATGGATCTCGCGGTAAATGGTATAATTGGCCGGCTTTGAAGTCAAGTGTCGCTCTTTTGTAATTTTCAAAGGACAGGTATCAGCTTTGTGATTGGTCAGGTCTTTTTCCTGAAACCAATCAAATAGCTAACCACATGCCTTCAATTTTGCTATGACATTTTCCAAGTGTGCAGAAAGTGTAAGTAAGCATAACCCCTGGAGTATCGTGGGAAGCAAACATGAATGTTCAAACTGAATCTTTTCAAGATCTTCTGACCATTATCTATGTTTATGAGGATCTATGGTTTAATGGCAGGGGAGGGAATTGGGAGGAGCACTTCTAGACAACTCTTACCCCGCCCAACTTGGCGGTACTTACATAGAAATGCAACTTCAGCTGTGAGTGGAAAAGCAAGTTAAATAAAAAACAAAGTGTCTCAATATCACTGAAGCATATATTTTTATCTAAACATTTCTTTTATCAGTGAACCAATTATATCTAAAATGTGTTAAATCAGTTTAGGATAGCCTTCACCCAAGCAAGCTACTGTCTTATAATCGTGACCCTATAGGCATCCTGGTTATTCATAAGCAGTCACTTGAAACATTTTAACACAGCTGACAAGTTAGGAAGATACTGGAAGCCAGAACGCCCTTTGAGCAGGTGAACTAAAAATAATGTCTGAATTGATATAAAAAAATCAATAAGAAATCAAAAAAAATCTGATTAAGTGAGATTTCCTTTCCTATATATATCAGTACATGTGTGCTATTTGATGTAATCTGAAAGCAAAACATAAATGAAGCACTAAATTTACACCAATCTATTCTATCTAAATTGAATATGACGGAGAACTAACTACTATAATCAGACAAACATACCTGATACTGTTCCCAGTGTCGTTTTTTCTCATCAGAGGATGATTTGAGGTCAAGGTCAGCCCTGAGGTAACCCTCTGTCTCCTTTAGCCAGCTGTTGAATGAATTGTAGCTCTCCTCAAAGTCGTTCCAGCGAGTTAGACATCGCTCCAGATCTTCCTGTGCATCTGTCAGTTGAGTACGATATTCCTCAAACTCTCGCTTCATTGAAGCCAGTTCCTGGCGAATTTTCGTCTGTCCTGTAGCCGACGTTGATGAAAGAGTTGTCTCCCCTGACTTTGTAGCCTCGGTCAGCCGTTGTGCTCCTTGGCTGATATCTGCCATCAGAGCCTGGTAGGCAAGTAATAACAAATCTTATCTATTGTCCTCAAAACATGAGATAAAGGTTTCAGTGAAAAAGTTATTGAAAACATGCATGAAAATACTGATAAACGCAATAAAGTCACACATTATACACAATCACTTCAACAGTTCTGAATGAACCTAAGTAGCGTAAATAACGGGGACCAGTGAACAAAACTTAAACAATCAGGAAGACCAATGTAATATAAGAATCAGTATGGTGACCTCGGAGACCTTGACATCTCTCTGTAAAATCTCCCAAAAGTTTACAAAACCTCAGAAACCTTGACATCTCTCTGTAAAATCTCCCAAAAGTATACAAAACCTCAGAAACCTTGACATCTCTCTGTAAAATCTCCCAGATGTTTACCGTTTATCTGTAAATACCTTTGCCCTGTCAATCTTGGTAATAATGACAGATTTCTCGCCAAACGTGTCGGAGCAGGTTGCCAATTTTTCGCGGGCGGTGCGTAGCCAGGACAGGAAGCCGTTACATGTGTCATGATAGGCCTGGTGCTGAGCCACACACTGCTCTGCCTTCGCCAACAGGTCCTGGAGAGATCACAGGAGAAAGTTATTCTTAAATACCAGTATTTCCTAATGAAATTATGTACAACAATCAAGAGACACAAGAATGTTAATAGTCCAATTCTGTGTTATACTTTTGGGGGTTATTGGAACAGAATCATTGATGTTAATAGTCCAAGTCTGTGTTATACTTTTGGGGGTTATTGGCACATAATCATTGATGTTAATAGTCCAAGTCTGTGTTATACTTTTGGGGGTTATTGGAACAGAATCATTGATGTTAATAGTCCAAGTCTGTGTTATACTTTTGGTGGGGTGAATTGTCTCTACAGAAAGTATCCCTCATGCAAGGCTTTTGTCCCTGAACCCATACACTTAGGGCTTTGTTTGTTCATCCCTTGAAAGTGATCTAGATAATTCTTTGTAGAAATAAGATTATGATTATTGGCATGTGACTTTGTAAAAGGAAATATTTGCTTTTTTTTTACATATTTAATGTCAGTGACTTTAAAAATGAGTCAATCATTTGTTTTCATAACTGAATATAGATCAAGGTCATTTGTTTTTTTCTGTTTTAGCAAACCTTGTAGAAATCTACAAAGGCAAGCTACTGGGCAAATATGATTTGACTAGTGGCCGTGCCTACCTGGGCCTGATCTTTAATGGTGGTGTATTTGGTGAGGATGTTGGATGTATCCGTGGAAGCCTTGCTGACTGGACTCTTGGTGGACAGGTCAGTGGCCTTCACTCCAATAGACTCGATCATCTGCTCATACGATATCACATCCTGGTACAGTCCCTGTCAATGACAACCAAGTACGGTCAGCTACCTTTTTACTTTCACATTAAATCATCAACAAACATGAAATCATTATAAGAGAAGAAAAAACAAGAGGTCTGAAGGGCCTAAATCATCATACCCCTCAGATCCTGGGGTTCATATCCTGCTCTTAGTTTCAGAAAAGAGTTTGATTACAGCAATATGGCCAAATTACCCCTTTTTGGCCCCGCCCCTCAGACCCCTAGGGGGGTCAGGCCCTTCATTTGTACACTTTTGAATCCCCACCACCTTAGGATGCTTCAATCCAAATTTGTACCAAGTTTAGATCCGAGCTATACAATGACACACCTAAGGCACTCATCTCTTGTAAACAAAACTTAACTATTCGTTTAATTTGTAGGTGTGACATTGAATTGTCTTTTATACAAATCAGGTGATGGACTCTTAAAATGTAGCCAAACCATGAGGTTAAAAATGACAATGGCTAACTATCAATCATCATACCCCATTATAACTGATTATAACCCTTTGTCAAATTACTTTTCATTTGTTGATTATGAATTTGCCACTTATTAAAGTCATGAAAAGAACTCCAGGTAAATGTTTCACATGCTTTGATCCCTCTTTGGAACTTGCTCGTAGGGAAGAAAACATTCCCATCATTGATCGATAAAATGTTCTTACCGTAATTATTACAGTTTGTATTGAAAATGTAAAATGTTATTGGTGACGATAGGTCTACTGAGCCTTTGTCTAGTGACATAAAAGGCTACATATAGAAGTCTTCATTTATATCACCAAGAGTCCACACAAGCACAGGAGAGTCTCTAACAACCCCTTTCACCCCTATGTAACTTTAGTAAACTCTACCATGCATTGATCTGGATGAGTCCATTATGGTCTACAGTGGTGAAAGGGTTAATGAGAATCCTCCTACAGTACCTTGAGTCGCTGTAGCTCTGCCTTCTTCTCCCCGAGGTCAACCTTGGCCTCCGTCTCGCGGAGACGCTTCTCCATGTCACGAAGCCACTTGTGAATTTTGTCGTAGCTGTCGCTGTAGTCAGTCCACTGGAGCAGACACGACTCGAGCATGACCTTGGTGTCAGTTATCTCCCCTAGCATGTTCTCCCACTCCTGCTGCAGCTGCTGAAGTTCCCTGCGGATCATTTCCCGGCCTTCCATCGACGTATTGGTCATCGTCTTCTCTCCCCAGGTGTTTGCTGTGTGGATCAGTAGCTGACCCTCCTCTTTAACTACGACAAACTCCTAACAATAAAATCACGGTGGTTAAAACTAATAAGAAATGGTGACCATAAGCTCTTCCTCAATACTAAGTATATTCCAGACAATGGTATATAAATGTTGACCTAGATACAAATCTAGTAAGGGGGCCTCTGAAACCACAACAGCCATATCAGGTAAACATCTTGATGACAGAGACTTTTTACAATGCTTTCTGGCACCATGGTAACTCATTATCCTCGTCCTATTTAATCTGGAGTGGTATACCAGTGTTCACCTTCACTCACCTGTAGTTTTTCCAGCTGGCTCTGGATCATGAACTTGTCACCAGAGATGTCTGCACACACGGACACCTTGTCCCGCGTGGACTGGAGCCAGGTGGCAGCTTCGGTGAAGGTATCAGCATACTGGGCATGGTCCTGTGTGTACTGCTCATACCGCTTAAACAGGTCCTATATAACAAATCAATGCATCATGATCACTTTAACCACAAGAAAAGTATCATCTAAAATGAAATATCTATGTGAATTTAAATTTTAATTTGCAAAGATTAACTTCTTTTATTCAACAAACAAATATATATTAAAGTCATCACAAGAGATCAAATATTTTCACAAGTAATAAATGCCGTCTTCATTATATCTAGCTGCGTAAGTAACCATGTCTTTCACATTCATTAACAAGAGGACCAAGGGCCTTGAATCCACTGGTTACTTTGATGATGTGGTAGAAATCAGCTCAGCTATTTTCATGGAGAGCTCCTGAAATGTCTGCCACTTTCTTGGTATAACATAAGTTTGTCAGGAGCTAAGGATGCTACCATCTCTATTAGGTTAAAAACCTACCCCAATGCTGTAATAGAGGTGTCGTTTAAATCAAGTATTCTAATTCCAGTCCTTTTAACCCGGCATGGTCCTCTGCCACCAGAAGAGGTCAAAACCTTTTATTACTAAAACTTTATCCCCATGGACTTAGCATAACCATCACTACAATTTAATTAAAATCTGTTTTTATGGGAACAGATTTCTTTAAAATCATATCAGTCAATCTGATGCTTTTAAACTAGTTCCTAAGCCCCTTTGACCCTCAACCCCTATATTTACATACCTTTTGATTCCCATGGGAAAAGCGATCTACCACCACAATTTGGTTGAAATCTGCCCAGTATTTTTAGAGAAGACGTCATTTGAATCAAATAGGCCAGTTTGCCCTCTTTTACCCCTCCCCCTGTTCTTCTTGTACCCCTCCCCCTGATCTTCTTGAAGGTTCAGTCGCTCTATTTGTAAAACATTTTTCGATCTCCAGGGGCTCAGCATGCATTTACTACATTTAAGTAGTTTTTTAGGAAGAGGTCTTACTTAAAGCAAATCGCCAAAATTTTCAGCTCTGTACCCCAACCTTCAGCCATCAAGAGGTGTTCAGCTCTGTACCCCAACCCTCAGCCATCAAGAGGCGTTCAGCTCTGTACCCCAACCCTCAGCCATCAAGAGGTGTTCAGCTCTGTACCCCAACCCTCAGCCATCAAGAGGCGTTCAGCTCTGTACCCCAACCCTCAACCATCAAGAGGCATTCAGCTCTGTACCCCAACCCTCAGCCATCAAAAAGCATTCAGCTCTGTACCCCAACCCTCAGCCATCAAGAGGCGTTCAGCTCTGTACCCCAACCCTCAGCCATCAAGAGGCGACGACAACAGTAGAAGCACCACCAGCTCACCCTGGTACATTGTACTGCTAAAAATCATTTTACTTTTACCTTACACAACTGTATTGTACTCGGGTTTTATTATATACTTCAGCTTAAATATATCTTGTTGTTTAAAAATACAAAGACCTGACAACTAGCAGTCAACTTATAATAATTGTAATCATTTCCTCCAAATATTTAAATGTCTTCCCAGTATTTATATTTCCAGCCAGAGTATCGATATCTCCTGCCAGAGTATTGATATTTCCTGCCAAAGTATCAATATCTCCTGCCAGAGTATCGATATCTCCTGCCAGAGTATTGTTATTTCCTGCCAGAGTATTGTTATCTCCTGCCAGAGTATTGATATTTCCTGCCAGAGTATTGATATTTCCTGCCAGAGTATCGATATCTCCTGCCAGAGTATTGATATTTCCTGCCAGAGTATTGTTATCTCCTGCCAGAGTATTGATATCTCCTGCCAGAGTATTGTTATTTCCTGCCAGAGTATCGATATCTCCTGCCAGAGTATCGATATCTCCTGCCAGAGTATTGATATTTCCTGCCAGAGTACTGATATTTCCTGCCAGAGTATTGATATTTTCTGCCAGAGTACTGATATTTCCTGCCAGAGTATTGATATTTCCTGCCAGAGTACTGATATTTCCTGCCAGAGTACTGATATTTCCTGCCAGAATATTGATATTTCCTGCCAGTGTATTGATATTTCCTGCCAAAGTATTGATATTTCCTGCCAGAATATTGATATTTCCTGCCAGAGTATCGATATCTCCTGCCAGAGTATCAATATCTCCTGCCAGAGTATCGATATCTCCTGCCAGAGTACTGATATTTCCTGCCAGGATTTAAATCTTATATATCTCTTGGCAGTATTCAAATTTCATACATGACTGAAATTATTATCAAACTTCTCTACATTTCAAACAGTGACAAGTAGGAAAAGCTGCAGATGATGGCAGACATGATTGACTGACCTTGGAGGCTGCAATGAGGCTTGTGTATCTGGAGCTCATCTGGGTGAGTTGGGAGGTCACACGATTATCTGTGGTGCACTGAAGTAAGGTCTGAGAACGCTCCGCCAGAGCATCAAACGTCAGCTGCTTGTTGAGGATCTGTTCATGGACAGCCTGTAGACATGAGGATAACAGATTATAGTTACTACAAGTTTGTCAGCGAGATATTAGGTTCTATCAACGTGATAAAACTGACATCTATCACACTGGGACAGATATGGAAGGTGACAACTCTTTGCCTTGTTCAATCAGTTGTAACTTTGAATGGGTGGGTGGTGTATACTTACATGTTGTTTCTCCACCTGCACAGTTTTATCTTCCAGTGTTGCCTTAAGCTCAGAGTCAGCCTTCATGTCTGTCTCAGTGTCCTTGATCCACTGACTCAACTCCTTGTACTGGTCTTCATATTTACTCCATTCTTCCAGGAGATGAGCTGTAAATGGCAGACACCCCATGTATAACATTATGTAACATAGGACTTCTTTTCTTTTCAATTTTACATAAACCCCTGATATCCGTTAAGTCAAAATTTTATGTCGAAATTAAAAAAAATATTCAATGAAATATTACCTAGGTTTGCATTGAGTTCATCACACTCATTGATAAATCCTTCAAACTCGTTGGACAACATAGCAAGCTCCTCCTTGATGAGGTCTTGTCCCTGTGCCGACGTCTCTGGTAGGACAACCTCTCCCTTTGCAATGGTGACTTCTAGTTTCTCTTTACCCACATCATTAGTGCTGAACACGTCCTACACAACAGAGATACAAACAAAGATATTATACAGGAGACAGTGAAGAAATAAGTTTCAACCTGCAGAATTTGAATTATTCAAATGTTGTTTTCTGCAGTATTCTGACATAGGCTCATTGACAAACATTTCCTAACAATAATACATTACAAAAAGGATCACTGCTACTTCTGAAAACTCTCAGCCTCTTCACCCAAGAACAGTAACTCTAGAGCCCCAAATAACATCATTTGAAAACCTATTAATCTGGGGCCAATTTTCAGTATATGGGTCAACAGATGTTAATACTCCACCTGTAGTTTATGGAGCTGTGCCTCAATGGCCGTCCTGTCACCACGGACATCACTACAAGAGTTCAGTCCTTCAATGGCAGTGCCCAGCCAATCGGAGGTCTCCATGAATGTGTCCCTGTAAGCCTGGTGGTCCTTCACATTCTTCTCGCACTTCACCAGCTGATCCTACAAACATCATATTACACCAACACATGGTTATCATAGGTGTAGCTATATATTACACCAACACACAGTTATCATAGGTGTAGCTATATAACACCAACACATGGTTATCATAGGTGTAGCTATATAACACCAACACAGTTATTATATGTGTAGCTTTATATTACACAAACACATGGTTATCATAGGTGTAGCTATATAACACCCACAAACAGTTATCATAGGTGTAGCTATATAACACCAACACAGTTATTATAGGTGTAGCTATACATTACACCAACACACAGTTCTCCTAGGTGTAGCTATATTTTACACCATCTCATGTTTATCATATGTGTAGCTATATAACGCCATCACAGTTATTATATGTGTAGCTTTACATTACACAAACACATGGTTATCATAGGTGTAGTTATATAACACCCACAATCAGTTATCATAGGTGAATGTTTATATTACAGCAACACGCAATTATCATATGTGTAGCTATATAACAACCACACATTTATCATAAGTGTAGCTATATAACACCAACACATAGTTATCATAGGTGTGGGTGTTATATCCCTACACCTATGATATGTGTGTGGGTGTTATCTAGCTATATATAGCTAGATAACACCCACACACATATCATAGGTGTAGGTATATAACACCCACAAAAAGTTATCATAGGTGTAGGAATATAACACCCACACATTTATCATAGGTGTAGCTATATAACACCCTTACAGTTAGCATAGGTGTAGCTATATATAGCTATATAACACCCACACACAGTTATCATAGGTGTAGCTATATAACACTCACACACAGTTATCATAGGTGTAGCTATATAACACCCACACACAGTTATCATAGGTGTAGCTATATAACACCCACACACAGTTATTACAGGTGTAGCTAGTACACAATTTCTGACAACATGCTTGAACCTTAATATTTACTAAGGAATATTTGTGGTAGAATCTAATCATTGCATCAATTGTTGTTATCAATTTTTATTCGTATTCTTTTCAAAATGCTTGAGTAAAATCTAGTAAAACCTATTTATTCTTCATATTTTAACAACATTTGACATTTGCTTTGGACCAGACAATCTCATCTATTTTTATTTTTTTAACTCATTTATTTTTAAATATTTTTTTTGCAAATTTTATCAACACCTTGTTTTCTAACAACTAGAATTACTTACCTTAACTCGACCAAGAAGTCGTTCATATCGACTGACTTGTCGCCGGATCTGGTTACCGAGGTTGGCCTCTTTGCTAGTCTGTTTGAGATTCTCTGATTTGTCATTAAGATTGTCAATGGTACTTTGCTGACTGTTCACATTCAGTTGAAGCACCTGTCAAACACACACACAAGATACTTTTATAAACACAGTGGAGACATAACCATCTACCTACCAAAACACAATCCATAAACATTAACAGCACAACTTTTTGTATATAATTATATCATCAATGAACTTTTTGCATAGTTTTATCTAATGCTTCTTTTTATTTAACTCTAATTCTTTTCAATGACTTTGACCCAGATACATCCACTGACTTTAAACCCTTTGACCCTGATAAATCCACTTACCTTAACCCTTTGACCCTGATAAATCCACTGACCTTAAACCTTTGACCCTGATAAATCCCCTGATAAATCCACTGACCTTAACCCTTTGATCCTGATAAATCAACTGACCTTAACCCTTTGACCCTGATAAATCCACTGACCTTTACCCTTTGACCCTGATAAATCTACTGACCTTAAACCTTTGACCCTGATAAATCCCCTGACCTTAACCCTTTGACCCTACTAAATCCACAGACCTTAACCCTTTGACCCTGATAAATCAACTGACCTTAACCCCTTGACCCTGATCAATCCACTGACCTTTACCCTTTGACCGTGATAAATCCACTGACCTTAACCCTTTGACCCTGATAAATCCACTGACCTTAACCTTTTGACCCTGATAAATCCACTGACCTTAACCCTTTGCCCCTGATAAATCCACTGACCTTAACCCTTTCAAGTTGAAGTCTTTTTTCTTGTAGAGTGTTCTGTTGCTGCGACTCATTCTCCAGCTGTTTTTCCAAGTCAGATAGCCATCGGTCAAGCTGGTCTATACTGTCATCATACACAGTCCACTGGGTCAGTGTGCCATCCAATTTGGTTTTGAGGTCATTAAGGTCCCCTGACAAGGCATCATACTCTGCCTGTAGACCCTGCATCTCTCGCCTCATGTTGTCACGTCCTGGGACGGATGTATTGGGCAGCACAATCTGGAGGTTGTCGAGGGCGATCTGAAGCATGTGTAATCCTTCCTCCTTGTCACCCATGAGCTCCTGGACATCACCCAGGCGTCCCTTGACAACCTGACGATCACCACTGATGTCTGAATGTGCCTGGAGCTTTTTACGCATCTCGCTGAGCCAGGCCTTACATTGGTTGAATGAAGACGTGTATGCCTGGTGGTCAAGCGCATACTGCTCCCAGCGACGACACAACTCCTAAAACAACACATGGAAATCAACTTAGGGCAACTAGGCTACTATACAAAAACTAAATTTACAATAATTGGTTAATATGCCAGGAAACACTGAAGTTAGTTTAATGTCAATAATGTCTCCCCAGAAAAAAATCAAACACTCACCTTGACATTAATGTAGATTGTCTGGTACTTTGTCCCTAGCTGTGACGCCTGACTAATGACACGTGTGTCGGTACTGACACGAACCAGGTCCTGGGCCGCATCACTGAGGGTATCCACATCACCTTGGTGATCAATCATCTCCTGGTGAAGTTTCTTTAGTTTGTCCAGTTGAGACTGTTTGTCCTTCAGTGTAGCCTTGAGCTCAGTATCACGAACTCTGACCTCCATATCTTTGAGCCAGGCTGAGACTTTTTCCTGCCAAGCATCAAACTCTTTCCACTGGTCCATACAGCTCTCAAGATCAGACTTGGTCTGTAACAGAGGTTGTCAGGTAATAGGATCATATCATCTATTTCAAGCTTCTTACATTAAAAAATATTTCATAAATCTAATATCAACCAATCATATCTACTAAAATGTCTTAAACAGAATCGGTAAGTAAACTTATTGTGTAACTCTGCCTGTAATATCAAACATTCATCATTTCAATTATACACTGCAGATAAAGGACAATATTTTAAAACAAGAGGCCCAAGGGCCTTAGCGGTCACCTGAGTTATATCATAGATACTGGTAGCTTTATTTTATTGTTAAGATGTGATGTGGAAATCAGCATGTAAACTAAGTGAAATACAATACTTGTCATGTCATCAATGGATAAGAATTTGAAAATATTGGTAAATGTTCCCTTTGGGACCCCGCCCTAGCCCCTGGGGATGGGGCAGGAATCCTAATTTTACAAAGTAAAACTCTCATTTACCCAACATGATTCTGACTAAGTTTGAGCAATTTTCTGCTGAAAATGGATAAAATATATACCGAAGGTGTTATTTCCCTATATAAACTATAGTAAACGTTAACCCCTCCCTAAGGGAGAACGGATAGCTCGGGGTCCTGATATTTTTAATTTAAATAAAGCCCCTGATGATCTTTCTTTCCATGTAAAGAAAATCACTGTAGTACCTCTGAGTCTGGAGAAGAAGATTTTTGAAATATTGATTAATTTTCCCTTTGGGGCCCCGCCCTGGCCCCAGGGGTCGGGGTAGGAATCTCAATTTTACAATTTGAAACCATCTACCTCCAAGGATAATTCTCACCAAGTAAAAATAATTTCCTACAGAAAGTTGTCAAAATATACCCAAAAGTGTTATTTCCCTATATAAACTATAGTAAACTTTACCCCCTCCCCAAGGGAGAACGGATAGCTCGGGGGTCCTGAAATTTACAATTTAAGTAAAGCCCCTGATGATCTTTCTTTCCACGTAGAGAAAATCACTGTAGTACCTCTGAGTCTGGAGAAGAAGATTTTTGAAATATTGATTAATTTTCCCTTTGGGGCCCCGCCCTGGCCCCAGGGGTCGGGGTAGGAATCTCAATTTTACAATTTGAAACCATCTACCTCCAAGGATAATTCTCACCAAGTAAAAATAATTTCCTACAGAAAGTTGTCAAAATATACCCAAAAGTGTTATTTCCCTATATAAACTATAGTAAACTTTACCCCCTCCCCAAGGGAGAACGGATAGCTCGGGGGTCCTGAAATTTACAATTTAAGTAAAGCCCCTGATGATCTTTCTTTCCACGTAGAGAAAATCACTGTAGTACCTCTGAGTCTGGAGAAGAAGATTTTTGAAATATTGATTAATTTTCCCTTTGGGGCCCCGCCCTGGCCCCAGGGGTTGGGGTAGGAATCCCAATTTTACAATTTTGAAGCCTCATCTACCAAGGATGATTCTGACCAAGTTTGAAAAAAATCCATCCACTGGTTCTTGAGAAGAAGTTGAAAATGTAAAAGTTTACGCACGACGCACGACGGACGACGGACGACGGACGACGACGGACGAAAAGCGATTGGAATAGGTCACTTGAGCAAAGCTCAGGTGACCTAAAAAAATGGTGATTTAACTAGAACACTGAGGGGTCAGCAAGGACCCCACCATGTGACTGACTGTAACTCTCCACTCCCTTCCCCATGTAGCCGATTCTAGTAACAGTGACCTTGACCTTGACATTAAAATTTCAAATTCCCAACTGCATAAATATCAGTGTATCACCATGTCAAATTTCAAAAATAATTTGTCTTTTGGATTTAGATGGAAGGACTGTACACCTTTATGGTCTATTTTTAGTAACTGTGACCTTGATCTTGACCTTAAAACTTTTTTCCCTTAGAAACCATATTGTACATTGTATCACAATGTCAAATTTCAGAAAGTCGGACGGCTCCAGATAACCCTTCATACATACCTTCTGTAGGGCATTGACGAACGCCTCCCAATCATCCTTCAGAGCATCAGTCTCCCTCATGACAATGTCTTTGCCCTGGGGTGCAGTATTTGGTAGTACCTTCTCAGAAAGGCTTACTACATTCTTTACCTTGGGTTCGCCCTCCATTTTGGTCGCAACAATGTCCTGTAGAATAAGTATTTTATTGAGTGAAGCTGCCTGGAGGTGCGAATGGTGTTGATTTGATAGTGAGGCAGTTTATAAATAAATCATATTAACTGACAAATCACAAACAATATATAGCGTGCTTATATAATGCTATTATCATTCTTATGAATCATTGAAAATGCAAATAAAGCAAGCACAGTCATTTTTGTGTTTACATCTTGAACCCTTTCATCAGACAATGAAACAATATTTCAGGCAGAACACAAACAGTGAAGTAACACTGGAGACCTACACTTCACACAAATCCTATGTTACCGTATCAGGAGGTTGTTTCTGTAAGGACCTCAATACGTCGGTTTTGATATCTAGTTAAAAGCACAGCTGTGTTTATCAATTTCACTTTAATAAAATACATGTAAAATAATCATTAAACAGCTTTTTGCCAATGAAAATATCCTACTCCAGCATTTGATAATAAAACAGTTATGTCATTCTTCCACCAAAACCCGTCACAGTAAATATACCATAAAACCCATGTAATATGCGTGGGTCCAAGTAATACAATTTGGTAAAGGGGAATTTACTTAGGGTCCATCACCAAATAATAACATCCTGATCACTAGGTCAATACTCATGAGTAATTCACACACAATCACAGACAATCTACTGATTCTAGACAGCTTCTCAACAACTAGTGAGGGTTTAGTCGACACTAATAGGCTACTTACTCGTTAGCCAATCACAGCATGTATCTGATATCGTAGCAATGAGACTGCATCTCATTATTAGTGGGGCTTTTAACTTTTCGTTTTTTTGAAAATAAGATCAACCGAATAATCATAAATTATCACCAAATATCTGAGATCATGTTTGAGTACAGAAGTACATGGGTTTGTTAGTGTTATAAGTAATATATCTTTAGCATGTTATTTTATTATCAGAAAACACTTACTGTCCAAATCATTGCTTATACAGTTGTTTGTAAATATAGCCCTAACAGAACTATTGTATGAATCACAGGACTCCTCTGATTCAGTGCCAAGTTGAGCTCTCTTGTGATCTAAACCTTTCTTTGTCTATATGTTGTGCATAATTAATTTAAAAAACAAACAAATCTCATGCAATACAACTAAGCAGAAAAGCCACACATTCAATCCTAGATAGCAAATCTAAGTGATTTCTTAAATTTATTGCATTGTATTTTTAATTCACAATACATGCACATGCATTCTAGCTGTTTTCTACCATTCAATGACAAAACCCTCGGTAAAAACCTGAAAAAGGTGCCCAGGTACACATGTATACAAAACTCTACTTAAAAATCACCATTTTTTCCATAAAACAATCAAATCTACCGATTAAATAGCCAAACTCAGGTGTCTGTTACTTAGATGGTAACAGATCTACATGGTTGAGTCACACAGGGTAGCTGTTGCTAGGGTTTCTTCACACTCCCTTACTTACTTGGGAAATTTTCTCTATATCAGTGTTCTAATAAAACAAAAAGTTTCACAGCAGCCTTACAATGTGTGTAAGTGCTCCTAACTTACACGGAATGCTTTCAGTTACACAGTTAATGATCCATGAAATTATTATTTTTTATAACCCCTTTTTTTCTTTTTTATAGCTCACCTGACATTGTACGTATCAGCTTTTACAAAAATATTGTTTACTTTTTCTTGCTCAAACATAGTGGTGGTAGACCTGTTTTTAAGCATCACAGACAGAAAGATTGAAGACTTCATTCTTTAGACAGAACTAGAAATATGCCAGATTGGCAGACTAATACCCCCCACCCTGTGCAGAAAACCTGTAGGAATACTTCTTTCAAGAATGTTTTTAACCAAAGGGGCATAACTTTATAAATAGGGGAGGTATTTCTAATTTCTATATGGGGTATAACAAGTTATCAAAAAGACACAACTTTCCCATTCTCCAAAACTATTTTGAATTATAAAATCTCATCAATGCAAGTGCACACAAGATATGTGGATAATTTAATTTCGTTTGAAGATTGTAAGTTCACATTATTGCTGTGAGGTGCTCGGATATGTTTGAGTGACTTACAACATGTGGCTGATTTTTTTATGTGCAACAATTCAACAAAAAACTGCAACATTTCATACCCCCAATTTAAAGTAGGATGTGAATTCCATCTGTCCAATAAAAAATAACACAGTCCTAAAATCTAGGATACATTGTTACTAATATCTATTATGGTTGACAGTGCGCCCCTTACCAGTATACATTGTCTAGACCGTCCAGGATATGACTTTAAAGAAAGCACAACTACACTGTCAAGCTTTCCTCTAAATGTACGTATGAAGAAAGACTAAACAAATCAGACAGAAGAGAGATAGAACATCTACGGGATACTGTAGATCATACAGTATAAGGAAAAATCAAGCCTAATTTATCAACAAAATAAATGTGGGAACACTTACACAGCGACGCTGTAAGTTGTTAATTATGAGAACAACAACAACAGGTTAGTTCATACAAAACACACAAAAAGGCATCATTTTATATTAAAATATTTTATCAATGTAAAACCATTGTAGAATTGGTTAAATAAATCCGAGGTTCAGGACAAACAAATGATAAAAAAAAATATTTCTTTTTTCAGTATAAAGGGTTTGGTTATTACTTTCTGCCTTAAATTTGGTTTGATAATTATTTTGTATTAATTAGATGTTAGGTAACATTCATGCAGGAGTACCACTGTTTATTACACATCAACAGGAAATCTTACACTTTTTAACAGTCCAGTATAATAACCCTGCAATATGATCAGGTGACATTACAACATGACACATGCACAGAAAGAGCTTCACTCTCATTGGTGCACACAAGTCGGCACACGGAGAACATAGAAACATCTTAGGAGGCGTTACACATCTTACAATTATTTCGGGGAGAGAAAAATGGAAGTTCAACACAAAAATGTTTATAAAGATTATAAAGCAGCAACTTCACAAAAAAATAGTTACAATATGAAATATAATGTTGCCACATAAACAAGGTAAAATACGTTTAGCAGAAAGGCTTTGTGATGTAATTAACTAAATGTAGAGTTATGAGACTAGATAATGTATACTATAGGGGATGTCTGATCTCCGGTATACGATGGATTACATGGGGTTTAACCTCTAACCTCAATCTATGATCATAAATATCCAGCAAAAATAGTATAATCATAAATACAACAAGCAATAATATAATATTATTCTTTTTACAAACAAATAAATCGGTGATCAATGTTTTGCTGAGTCTCACCTGAATCTTGTCGAGTCGGTTCTGTATGGTGTGGCGATCACCTGATACGTCGGCACACATAGACAGCTTCTCACGAATGCCATTCAGCCATTCAATACAGTTGTTGTAGGCATCATTGTACTGTTGGTGGTCGGCTACAAACGCCTCGTACTGCTGGACCCGTTCCTGACAACATCCAATGTTATAATTAACAGGAGCTAGCAGCACTCCGCTTACCGCGTACTGCTGGACACGTTCCTGGCAACATCCAATGTTATAATTAATATAACAGGAGCTAGCAGCACTCCGCTTACCGCGTACTGCTGGACACGTTCCTGCCAACATCCAATGTTATAATTAACATACCAGAAGCTAGCAGCACTCGGATTACCTCGTAGTGCTGGACACGTTCCTGACAACCTCCAATGTTATAATTAACATACCAGAAGCTAGCAGCACTCGGATTACCTCGTCCTGCTGGACACGTTCCTGACAACATGCAATGTTATAATTAACATACCAGAAGCTAGCAGCACTCGGATTACCTCGTAGTGCTGGACACGTTCCTGACAACATGCAATGTTATAATTAACATACCAGGAGCTAGCAGCACTCGGATTACCTGTTGATGTCACTAACTTAACATGTAATACTCAGTCCAAGTCTTGTTAATATGGATTAAACGGCAGTTTTTAATTTTCATGTCGGTACGAACCCAAATCGGTAACATCCTAGCAGGCTTCATGTTTAATATGGATGTAACCGATTTACGTTCATACAGGCATAAAAATTTAAAAAACACCGTTCAATCAATATATTAACATTTCTACTATAGAACAATTGTTTGATTTTATTTATTTGTTCTTGAATAATTTATTTATTTACTGCATTTTGTACATGCGTTGTCGTTTAAACGACATTTTCGTGACAGCCCTATTTGAATAAAATTGGCGCCAATAACTAACCGTAGTCATTTGAACGTTTGACGCAGGGTTATTTTATCCGAAGCGACGCGACTAGACTCTCGTTTATCTATGACGTCATAAGTAAACCATGTGTTAATGTCACGAGAGTTTTTGCTTTAATACTCAAATGTAATGCATTTCTGCATTAGAGGGTTGCAGCGCAAATGTAAATATTTAGGTATAATTTTTTTAATTCTATTCAAAAATCTTCACTCTGTCTCCATTTTGAAGTATTCCACTTGTTCAAAAATGTATTTATCCTGACTTAACTTGAACCTGAATGCTGTATAACATTCCAATGTTATTAAGTCATCAATGCGTGAACACTATATCACAAATATGTTGCTTGCATTAATGAGAAAGATCTTATATGTCTATCATTATTCATACCACTATGAACATTCTACAAACCACATGACATTCTCTGTTGCCATGTGACTAAGTAACCATCAGTACCTTGGCTGTGGCGGTGATTTTATGGTAGCGTGTTCGTGCTTGTGTGACAAACTTGGTGAGTTGTGGGTCACTGCTACTCTGGACCAGGCTCTGAGCTTTGTCATTGACACTGTCCATCACCCGCTGATAGGACAGTACATCCTGGTGTAGTACCTACAATACAGCAAAATACAGATCAGTCAGTACTGGTCATCTCCTGTCACTACAATGGTCAGTACTGGTCATCTCCAGTCACTACAATGGTCAGTACTGATCATCTCAAGTCACTACCATGGTCAGTACTGGTCATCTCCAGTCACTACCATGGTCTGTACTGGTCATCTCCAGTCACTACCATGGTCAGTACTGGTCATCTCCAGTCACTACAATGGTCAGTACTGGTCATCTCTTGTCACTACAATGGTCAGTACTGATCATCTCCAGTCACTACAATGGTCAGTAGTGGTCATCTCCAGTCACACAAACATTCCACAAACACAAACACATTTAGTAACTACGATATAAACTGAATTCACAAACAAGCTACTGTTTACTCGGAAGCTCTAGATGTATGGAGATCTATAACACTACCAACAACTGTTGCTAGGTTTTCTAATCTTGAGCCAATCAGATGTTCTGTATACGTACTTTGTAATTCTGTAACTGGCTTTTCTTCTCCTCCAGCGTGGACCTGAGGGGCACTGTTCCGTCGAGCTGCGACTCCATCTCACGCAGCCAGTGCTCCACCTGTCCAAAGCTGTCATCAAACGACGTCCATTGGACAAGCGCTACCTCCATCTTACGCTGTGCAGCAGACAGATCATCAAACAGACTTTCCCAGGTCAGCTTGACTTGTCGTAGCTCTTGTCTCACCACTTCACGACCGTCTGGTGCTGTGTTCGGGTACAGCTTTTCTCCCGCTTCTACCACCTGGTTCAACTTGGTGAAGCCAGCATCACGCTCCATGGCCAATTCCTGCGACCATATCACAAATAATCACTAACAATGGAATGTAATTCCTGTAACCATAGTAACTAGTGCAAGACTTTCCACTTAATGTCATGTGATTTATAACCTATGTAATTCAATATATGTTTGTATCACTTGCTTTGATGTGATCTCCGCTTAATATCACTTCATTTTCACCCTCTAACGTCACTGTACCCGAATCGGGACACTTTTTAGATAAATATAAATGTTCTTTTAAACCATACTATCAGTTCCAAAAATCTTTGTTTATTTTTCATAAAAAGATACTATCCACTTTTCATTTCTATTACAACACGAAATACCATCAGGGTTACGTAGGCCCTTTAACCGGTGGAAATTATGTAGGACAGAAAAGTCTCAACCATGGATGTATAAATTTGGCCGCAAGCGTTGGTTTTTGCCCCCAATTTTGTTCCCTTTGGGAAGGACATTTCTATCCTACATATATACATATGTTGGAGTCATAAAATATCCAATTTTATTTGTTCTGTCTCCAACAAATATCCTCTATACTCTTTGTGAACCCACCTGTATCTTCTCCAGTCTGTCTTCCAGTTCATTCCTTGAGCCTGTAGTTTCAGCACTCGTTGAGAACTTGCTCTTGGCCTTGTTGAGCCACTGTGAGCAGTCAGCATGCCGATCCTTGTAGTGTTTGTGATCGGTCACATTCTGTTCACATTTCTTCAGTTGGTCCTGTATGGACAAACATCAAGATAAATTGGTTAACTTCCATATCTTCAACAACTGTACTGTTATCATGATGACTAGAGGCTACCATACGACCATTTCCTGAGGGCTGATATGGGTCGAGGGCTGATACGGAGTAGGATGTGGAAATGGTCATTTGGTAAACTGTTTTATTATTTACTGCTCTATTACATCAAACTTATTAACAATGACAAATGAAAAACATAGAAAATATATATTTCAAGAGCTAAATTATAATCACATTCTAAAATAAAACGGGAAAAAAACAGAAAAGCAAATATAGATGGATATTCAGTGCGTACACTACCAGATCAAGGAGGGATTTTTCTGATAATATAATCATGTTACCATTGACAACTGATACTCGTATCAATGACACACCAGTATGTTACCATTGACAACTGATACTTGTATCAATGACACACAGGTATGTTACCATTGGCAACTGATACTTGTGTCAAAGACACACAGGTATGTTACCATTGGCAACTGATATTTGGGTTGTGGATGCCTACAAACCTACCTTAAGGTTTTGTTGTAGGGTCTGGTAGCGTGACATGAGCTGTGAGACAGATGTGCCAACACGCACTTCACCAGTCAGCTGCTGTAGTGTCTGTGCCTCGTCAGAGAAGTGATCCATTTCTCTCTGATGTGCCCTTACCTCCGTCATCAAAGCCTGTCAAACAGTTCACCAAAATTAGTTCATGTTACCAAGAAGGATTTCCAAGAAAATGTCTCAGGATTCGAGAATAAGACTTCCTGCAAGAATCATGATAGGTTATGACAAACTGCAACCCTTCAACAACTCTACCTTCACTGAAATAGTTTCACAGGAAACCGTTTAATGGTATCTATATACAGGAAAATGTTAAATCTTGGTGCATGTGGAGAAGACAATTATCTGATTTAAAGGAAAAAATATATAGAATTTGGAGAGAGGATATTAGAATACTGAATTATATGAAACCTCTTGTGTATTTTGGCTCACAATGCAGGGAAAGGGGTGGACATAACGTGAGGAGACATCAAAGGATGGAAATCTTCCTCCCGAAACATTACAGTTGGCAAGCCTGTATAAGTATTGTAGATTTGTTTATGATTTATATTAGAGTTGGCAAGCCTGTACAAGTATTGTAGATTTGTTTATGATTTATATTAGAGTTGGCAGGCCTGTACAAGTATTGTAGATTTGTTTATGATTTATATTAGAGTTGGCAGGCCTGTACAATTATTGTAGATTTGTTTATGATTTATATTAGAGTTGGCAGGCCTGTACAAGTATTGTAGATTTGTTTATGATTTATATTAGAGTTGGCAGGCCTGTACAAGTATTGTAGATTTGTTTATGATTTATATTAGAGTTGGCAGGCCTGTACAATTATTGTAGATTTGTTTATGATTTATATTAGAGTTGGCAGGCCTGTACAAGTATTGTAGATTTGTTTATGATTTATATTAGAGTTGGCAGGCCTGTACAAGTATTGTAGATTTGTTTATGATTTATATTAGAGTTGGCAGGCCTGTACAAGTATTGTAGATTTGTTTATGATTTATATTAGAGTTGGCAGGCCTGTACAAGTATTGTAGATTTGTTTATGATTTATATTAGAGTTGGCAGGCCTGTACAAGTATTGTAGATTTGTTTATGATTTATATTAGAGTTGGCAGGCCTGTACAAGTATTGTAGATTTGTTTATGATTTATATTACAGTTGGCAGGCCTGTACAATTATTGTAGATTTGTTTATGATCTATATTAGAGTTGGCAGGCCTGTACAATTATTGTAGATTTGTTCATGATTTATATTAGAGTTGGCAGGCCTGTACAATTATTGTAGATTTGTTTATGATTTATATTAGAGTTGGCAGGCCTGTACAAGTATTGTAGATTTGTTTATGATCTATATTAGAGTTGGCAGGCCTGTACAATTATTGTAGATTTGTTCATGATTTATATTGGAGTTGGCAGGCCTGTACAAGTATTGTAGATTTGTTCATGATTTATATTAAAAAGTTGGAATAGTTCATTATGAAATTTCAGGGGTGAATGAGTTAATCTTTTTTACAAATTGCACATTACAGTCACTATTACTATATGCTCAATATTTTTGATGTGTGTGTGGTGAGCACTCTCGATCTCCAAAAACAATGCAAAAGCATTTCATGCACTTGACAACTCATCAAAGATATGAAATTATCTCATTGATTGGGGGTCTCAGAGGTTGGTGCCCTACTTCATGAGGAAAACATGCCAAACGTTCTAGTGACCTTACAAAATTTCTATACTCATGCACCTGAAAAAAGCAACGTACCAGCAGTACGATGAAAAACTGACCGAGAGCATAGTGGTCCTTAAATCACCCCGACCGAGAGAATAGTGGTCCTTAAATCACCCCGACCGAGAGCATAGTGGTCCTTAAATCACCCCGACCGAGAGCATAATAGTCCTTAAATCACCACGACCGAGAGCATAGTGGTCCTTAAATCACCACGACCGATAGCATAATAGTCCTTAAATCAACCCGACCGAGAGCATAGTGGTCCTTTAATCACCACGACCGAGAGCATAATAGTCCTTAAATCACCCTGACCGAGAGCATAGTGGTCCTTTAATCACCCCGACCGAGAGTATAGTGGTCCTTAAATCACCCCGACCGAGAGCATAGTGGTCCTTAAATCACCACGACCGAGACCATAGTGGTCCTTAAATCACCACGACCGAGAGCATTGTGGTCCTTAAATCACCCCGACCGAGAGCATAGTGGTCCTTAAATCACCCCGACCGAGACCATAGTGGTCCTTAAATCACCACGACCGAGAGCATTGTGGTCCTTTAATCACCCCGACCGAGAGCATTGTGGTCCTTAAATCACCACGATCGAGAGCATAGTGGTCCTTAAATCACCCCGACCGAGAGCATAGTGGTCCTTAAATCACCCCTACCGAGACCATAGTGGTACTTAAATCACCCCGACCAAGAGCATAGTGGTCCTTAAATCTCCCCGACCGAGAGCATTGTGGTCCTTAAATCACCCTGACCGAGAGCATAGTGGCCCTTAAATCACCCCGACCGAGACCATAGTGGTCCTTAAATCACCCTGATCGAGAGCATTGTGGTCCTTAAATCACCCCGACCGAGAGCATTGTGGTATTTAATCACCCCGACCGAGACCATAGTGGTCCTTAAATCACCCCGACCGAGAGCATTGTGGTCCTTTAATCATCCCGACCGAGACCATAGTGGCCCTTAAATCACCCCGACCGAGACCATAGTGGCCCTTAAATCACCCCGACCGAGACCATAGTGGTCCGTAAATCATCCCGACCGAGAGCATAGTGGTCCTTAAATCACCACGACCGAGACCATAGTGGTCCTTAAATCACCACGACCGAGACCATAGTGGTCCTTAAATCACCCCGACCGATAGCATAGTGGTCCTTAAATCACCCCGACCGAGAGCATAGTGGTCCTTAAATCACTCTGACCGAGAGCATTGTGGTCCCTAAATCAAGGCTCCACAACATGTCAATGTTGTTTATCTTCTTACTAAACTCTTCTTTGCTTAAGTTCACTTTGTAAATCAATCCCTATTTGTGAAACCTCTATATCTCAAAAACACATAGGATTACTTTAACATTCTCATCAGATGATAACAAATTAAGACAACCTTCTTATTTCCCACCCAAAGTTCAAAGTGCATGCTGCCGTGATTTCTACAACACCGTGCAATCTTGTGATTTACAGTAACCATGACTACAGATCAACCAATCAAAAGTCCAGGCCACAGTTCCAATGATGAGCAAGATGTCGACTAATACAAGGAAATGAATCCTTAATTTGTTTTGCTTATTGCATACAATACATACAAAAACATGTCATTGAGCAGGCTACCTAAAATAATATTTTGAAAATAACAAGAGAAATAAGCAATAATAGATGAGAAAAGAAAATATAAGCTTGAAACAAAGAGCCCGATGATCAATTGCTGGAATGTTATGAGAAGCAATGAGCAGGCAATGAGCAAGCAGATCAGATGAGTAATGAGTATATGAGATTTCATACAAATGGGGCTGCAACAAAACAAACAACTGAAAATAATCTATACAACAGCAAAATAATAAATCCAACACCAGGAATGCTACAGGTAATGTCTTACACTTTCCAGAGAAACAAACTGGTCCATTTCCAAGTGGAACTCGGAGATTTCTGCTGCAATTTCCTGGAAGGAATATATTGATGATGGGAAATGGAGAAAAATGACAGAGAAAAATGGGTACCCAGCACCCATTCCCAAAGTTAAAACAAGGCTGATTTTGTTTCCGATTCCAAAAGATTACAGAAGATTAGATTCTAAACAAAGATGTTACTTAAATAGAACTTTCAAGAATGGTGCATCGACAGAAGTAGATATATACATTGTGTTAGTTAGGACAGGACCGTTGTGTAAAACAAGAGTCCCAGAGGGCCTGAATCACTCGCCTGGACATTTAGGTAAAATCTTCGTTTACTATTTGTGAAGTTGGATGGACATGTGTAGAATTTTTATGAAAATCAAAGCATTCCTCTATACAAGGAAATCATGGGACTTTTCACAAACTCCAGGATGTCAACACGTGTCCTCTAAGATTTTCATGTTTAGATCAAAATTGAATTTGAGTGGATAACTGATACCAAAGGTATATGCCAGAAAGTTTCATGAAAATTAAAGTACTCCTTCAACAGTTATAACACAGAATCCATTTGTAGGGGAAAAGCAACCAAGGAGATACTCACAGAGTGATCTTTTAATGTCAACTTTGCTTTGCAGGCAACTTTATTGAGGACTATTTAATTAGTAAGAACATCAAGAACGCCTGTTAAAGTTGTAACAATACTTTTAGAACATGACTTCATATCTGTTAGTTCAGCAAACAGTGAATAATGAAATGCTCACTAGAACACTTGAATAGATTTCAAGAAAACTGTTTTGCTATCACACATCAATAGAAAGTTAGTCCCATTTTGTGGTAGACCTTAATTTTAACCCCTCACCTGGAACTTCTGAAGCTGTAGCTGTTTGTCATCCAATGTTGATTTGGGAGGAGATTCTTTGACCTTCTTCTCCATGTCCTTGACCCAGTGAGAGATGCGGTCATACTGCTCCTCGTACTTGCCCCACTGTTGAACGGCACGCTCCAGCCCGTCACGCAGGCCCTTAATTTGAGATGTGTAGTTGTCCCAGTCCATCTTCAGCATGTCCATTTCTTGGTGTACTCCCTGGCGACCCTTCAGGGCCGTTGTTTCCACAGTGGTTGCTGCCAACTCTTCACACTCGGCAATCTTAGCAGTTCCTTCAGGGATGGAAGCCAGCAGCTCCTGAAAGTAGAAAAGCATTGTGAAATAAGAGGTTTGTTTTTGTGCACAAAATCATATGTCTCCACATTTTTCGCAAATATTATTTCCACTTCCCTTGCATAATAAAAATCAGTTTCTTCATGATGTCTTTCATGGTTTAAAATTTACAACACAGATATGATGTTCATGATAAGGTTTTTTTTAACCTTTGACCTCAAGTTCAATTAAGGTTACAGTGACCTTCTGACAGTGCACTGCACATCATCTGAGAATTATGCAAGTATACTGCAATTTTCTATTGCATCTCCAATGGTTTAAAAGTTACGACACAGCCAAGAAGTTACTGAAAAGTTTGCATTTATTTGACCTTTGACTTTAAGATTACTATATCTGTATTTCAAAGTATTTGGGTTTTTCACACCAACTGGCTGAGGGATTGGAGTAAGTTTTCATTATACTTGTCCTGCAAGACAAGTTGGATGTTTAGGTTTTGTTGACCCTGATCAACATATTTGTTATTGCTTTTCGTACAGGTTTGACTGAGGATGCTTCAAGTATATCCTTTTTTTTTTTTTTTAATAAGATTAAAAATTGTAAACTCAAATCTAGCAGATAACAATGTAGCCGCATACCTGGACTCGGTCAAGTTTGTTGCTGAGGGTATGTCTGTCCCCAGAGGTATCGGAACACATGCTGACACGGTCCTTCATCAGCGTGAGCCAGTCCACTGCTGCCTGTAGCGAGTCCTGGTATTGTTGGTGGTCTACTACATTCTGCTCCGACTGCTGGATTATAGCCTAGCAACAGGAAAACAGGGCACATCACTTAGCAACTAGAAACAAGACTGTACCAATCAATTAGCACCCAAACAAAATATAACAAGACATATAAGAAAGGTAAAAATGTCAAAATACAAACAAGATACTGGTCACATATATCATGAATCCAGGCCTTTTGGTTCTTCAGAAGAAGCTGTTTAAGTGTTTTAACAGATTGAACCTCTGTGATTTTGGTAAAATAGGTCTACGTTATTTCTCTTCCAAATATTTTGAATCAATCATAGCCAGCAAGTTACTGGCCATATGTCATGACACTGGACATGTTTCTGCTTCAGAAAAAGCTGTTTGAATGTTTTAACAAATTTGACCTTTGTGAACATGAACATGGGTCAAGGTCATTTATTTTCCCAAAATGTGTAGAGTTCCACACCAGAAAGCTTTTAAGCATTTATCATGGCTCAAATGCCTTTTGTATCTTCAGAAGAAGCTGTTCGAGTGTTTTAATAGAGTTTAACCACTGTGACCTTGAATATGGGTAGAGACCAATTATTTTCACATAATTTACAGCATTTCATGCCAGGAAGATAAGGGCCAAATAACAGGCTCCAGGCCTTTGGTTCTTCAGAAAAAGATGCTAGAATGTTTAAGGTACTGAACAATGTATAGTAAATTGCTTCCTATTCAAATTTTGTAGCGCATTCACTATGGGCGCTTAAAATGTTAAAAATCAATTAATATGATTGCTGGTTTGTTTCAAGATGATTTTTTTGTTTGTTAAAAACTAAACTTGTACCCCCTTTTTTGGCTCTTTGGTGCCCTACAAAGGGACCAGCCCTTTGAAATCTAAATCATTCTTCACCTAGAGAAACTTCCTACCAAATTTGGTTGTAATTGGCCTTGCAGTTTTTGAGATGAAGAGATTCAAAGAAAAGTTTACAGATGGACAATAAATGCTAGACACCAGATGACAGATGCCGGCCAGCATCCAAATACCTCATTCAGCTCTTCATGCCAGATGAGCTAAAATTATACTTTAAAAAATCAAATAATTAAATTTCTTAAAAAATGCAAAAAAACAACTGAAATTCAAGAAAAATCCTTGACTGTTGATATCAACTATTGAGAAAGGATATACTCAATACTGAATGTGAGCAGTACCTTTGAGGTTGTGGTGAGGTTTTCGTAGCGCGAGTTGATATCAGTGATAAACGTCTTGACCTCTGGGTTGGATGTACTCTGAAGAACACCCTGTGCTTTCTCTACGACGGAGTCCACAAGGCGTTGGTGAGACAACACATCTTGAAGCACGGCCTGTAAATACAATTCATTACATTTTCAGCAGGGAAATGATAGGAATATATATAGTGAGAACATTTTATCATTGGTAAGTAGTATGCCTGAGACATGAGTAGTTATCATTGGTTAGTAGTATGCCCGAGACATCAGTAGTTTTAAGATACGCTTTACACAATATTCCAGACAAACAAACAGAAATGGTGATTCCAATAAACCCCCTCTAACTTTATTGTGGAGAGTATGATTATTTTTTTATAAAGAATAAAATAATAGAAAGTAAAACTGTATGACGTGTAAATAACGTACCCTGACAGTCTGAAGTTTGGTTCGTTTCTCCTGTAACGTGTTTTTGAGATCAACATCTGATGTCAGAACTGTCTCTGTGTCTAACATCCATCGTAGAAGCTGGTCTTGGCCATCAGCATATGATGTCCACTGCATCATGTACGACTCGACACGGCGTTGGGCATCATTGAGATTGTTGAACAGTCGATCCCATTCATCTTTTGCGAGTCGTAGTTGCTGACGAACCTTCTCCCGTCCAGTAGATGCAGTGTCAGGGTAAAGACGCTCACCAGACTCTATGGTAGAATTCAGCCTTTGGAGGCCATGGTCCTTCTCAGATAACAACATCTGGAAATTCAAATATTGATTTTGTGGCCTTTTCTATTTATAAGTATCATAGACAGAGGGGACAAATGTACCACAAAGTAAGTGCCATATTTTGTATTATTGACAAATGGCTCAAAGGCCTTAAGGGGGGGAAATAAACATTCAAACAGACAATGACAGATGAAAAGCGATCACATTAGATCACTTGTTCATTTAGAATTTATTTCACCTGATTAAATTTCATTCCTGAAACTTGACAAGGAAATGGCAAGATATAAAAAAAAAAACCCAGATAGGACCAGAAAACTGAGTAGTCTTGTCTAAGGTCCTGTCATTACTGGCTTTACCTGGATCATGACTCGTCTCTCCTCCATGGTGTTCTGGTCAGCAGCCGGACGTTGACAGGCGTCTAGTTTCTCTGTCGCCTGTGCCAGCCATGTCTTGTACTCCTGATGACGATTGTCGTAACCTTGGTGATCCTGGACATACTTTTCCCATTTTGTAATGAGGTCCTAGAAAGGTCAAAGGTTATATACTAATCTCAAGAATAAGTCACTTGTACTATCTGTGGCAAACTATCTAGTCTCCTTTTTACTGAATCTGCTAAGGGGGAGTTTCTCTCAAGCTTCGTCTGTAAAGCACTGACTAGTGATCTGTACTCCCCATTCTGACTTTACCTCCAGACACATGACTAGTGATCTGTACTCCCCATTCTGACTTTACCTCCAGACACATGACTAGTTATCTGTACTCCCCATTCTGACTTTACCTCCAGACACATGACTAGTTATCTGTGCTCCCCATTCTCACTTTACCTTCAGACACCTGACTAGTTATCTGTACTCCCCATTCTGACTTTACCTCCAGACACATGACTAGTTATCTGTACTCCCCATTCTGACTTTACCTCCAGACACATGACTAGTTATCTGTACTCCCCATTCTGACTTTACCTCCAGTCACATGAAAAAGCAACCTTGGAGATATTGTTACTGGTAACAGGGTTTGGTCAGTTACAGTAGCATACCCTTCCCAGGACAGAAGCATCTGTATATAGATTGGTCTGTACTGATAGAATAACTTTGTAGTAGCTTACCTTGACCAGTGAGAGCAGGCCTCGGTATCGATTGGTCAGTTGGGACACCTGTGTACTTAGTCTAGCATCAGCACTGGTATGCATCAAGTTCTGTGCATCGTCTGTGAATCGGTCAATCTCTGGTTGGTGGGTGAGGATCTCTTCACGTTGTCGCTGTAACAGATGTATGTATACAGTGTGGGAGATTACCACAGTTTAAATCTGGAATATAAAGTCTAAGCTTCCATGAGGGTCAGGAGGTATCGAGAGGACTGACTGTATCCAACACACCAAACCCAGGGGCAAAGATTCAACTTTACTTATAATTCTTTTTACCTCAACTAATATATATCTTTATAGTGTATGATCACTTTATTGAAATCATTGATTGGTCAGTTTGCCAGAATTGAAGGGATAGCTGTGTTGTTAAAACCACCAACCTTGAATTTTTCCACCTGTTCCTGTTTCTCCTTCAGTGTAGACTTGAGCTCGTAGTTTTTGACCTGCTGTTCGATGCCCTTGAGCCAGGTATTGCATGTGCCAAACTTGCCCTCAAAATCGCCCCACTGTACCAACGCGTTGCCTAGGTCCTCCTCAGCCTGTGACATGAGAGCGAGGTAGTCCTCCCAGTCCCCTTGGATGTGGTCCATCTCACGTCGCAAAACCTCACGGCCTGGCTGGCTTGTCCCGCGTGCTGACTTCTCACACAGCTCTTTGGTAGCTTTAAGTTTGTGGTCACCATCTTCTACCTTCTCAGAAAACTCCTGGCAAGCATTACAAATAAAAGGTAGCGTTAGTTATAGGAAATAGTAGGATACAGTGAATTCTGCTTCAGATCTCGTTTTAGTTGTACGAGGAAATATGATACATGAAATATGACATTAACAGATAATATGATTCTCAATTTTTAAAACCCAGAAGTGACCATATTTAAATATTCAAAGTGATTTGGTTCTATTTTGTGACTGAATTTGTTTTTTCTTTATTGGCAGTGAAATAATCACCTTTTTATTTCTTAATACAAATATGTGGCTTAAACACTGGTGTTGTTGTTGTTGTTGAACTGTTTTGAATTCATATCTCCCATTTAAAGATCCATACTAGTTGTGACGAACGGAAACATGTCCATTCACAAACAGGATATCAACACCTAAGTTAAATCCCAACTAATCAACATAACAACATGCATGTGCTCTAGTAGTCCATGGATCATTTGAAAATGAGACAAAGTGAACTTTTTGTTTTGAAATATCTATATTAATATTTGAATTGAGTTACGAAAATAACTTTGTTTTTGTCTTTCTGAAGTGATACTTTTCCCCCGACATACCTTGAGTCTGTCAAGTTTATGCTGGATCGACATCTTGTCACCAGAAGTGTCGGAGCAGGCCTCCACTTTCTCGCGCGAGGAGTTGAGCCAGTCCTGACAGTCCTGGTACGTGTCCTGGTACATCTGGTGGTCCTTCACCCCACCTTCCAGCTCCTCTAAATGCTCCTTCGATTCCCCACACAGCTTGTTGTACTTCCTATGTAACTCGTCCACAAACTTACCAGCCTTCGTCACTGGTGACGAATGGGACAGCTTGGAAGCTTTCTCGGACAAATTATCCATCACATGCTGACGTGACATGATATCTTGGTGAAGCACCTGTCAGAAAGTTCAGTTAGTATATAAGATTTCTTCTCTAGCTATTAAAATGTACATTTGTGTGAATATGGACAAAGGGTATCTTTTACTATCTGGTGATGGTGGACTAAAAACTTTGACTACAACAAATTTTACATGAGGGCAAAAGGGCCTGTATCGCTAAGCTGGATATTTCCGCAATCAAGGCAAAATATTCTCATTGTCAGTAATATTACAGAAAAAGTTCCCAGGAGTTGGGTCGAACCCCACTGTCAGAAGGTTGCAAATATATGTTTCAAAGTCTTCACGCTCAGCAATTGTATATATTGTTATAAGATAGGGATCTCAACCATTTCCATGTCATAACCCAGGGACTAAGTCCCTAAGGGGGTGGCAGACATCATGACCAGTCCTGGTTGCATATCTGTATTAGTATTTTCATGTCCAAATTATCCCTTTTTGCCTTCCCTCTAACTGCCTCTCATAATTCCTAAAAATGATTTAAAGCAATATGTCCATATACATCTTTTTATTTGTACAGTTTTGGATCCCCATCACCTATCTAAGACTGCTTCTCCTCAGTCTTTATGACCAGGTGAGCTTTTACAGATACAGATATATGGTATCAGATTAGACTACGGTGTAATACACTTTAGGAAATATTTATCTTGATAACACATCTATATGTACCCTGTGGTTCTGTAGCTGGGCCCTCTTGTCTGGCAGTGTGGCTCGTAGGTCTGTATCCTCTCGTAACTGGATCTCTGTGTCTAGCAGCCATTTCTGGAACTGTTCAAAGTTCTCATCATATGAAGACCATTGCAGCAGGCAGGTGTCGAGCTTGCGTTGCGTGTCAGACAGCGTATCGCAGACCTGTTCCCACTGGTCACGGAGTCCTCGCAGTTCCTGGCGTATGACATCTCTGCCCTCCGATGCAGTACTTGGGTACAGCTTCTCGCCACATTCTACTGTGTAGTGGATCTTGGTTGCTCCCTGATCTTTTTCGGCCATCAGTTCCTGAGGAGGCAAAAGCATGATGAGACGAGATAAGTTTCAGAAAGATGTTTCAAACCAACAGAATATAAATATTTAAAGCCATATCATATTTCTTATCCTCCCCTTCAATTCTGACACTTCTAATCCTTTATTTGTAGATAAATATTCAATATTTTTTGTTTCAGATCCCTTCAGAATGTTCTTGATAATTTTTAACAGTATTGTTTCTTTCTCTCCGAGTGAAGTCCATCCATTTATTTTGGTTCAATACTTTTCCGTTAAATAAATATATATGCTATATAAATATACAAAGCTAGGTAAATGATGCCATTCTATTTCTAATGTGTCCATAGGACTGTCACACTCCAGCTGATTGAAATCAAATATACAAGTCTTACTCCAAACTAGACACCACTTTTATAGGTGTGACAAGGTGTGACAAGGTGTGACATTACCTTTACAGGTGTGACAAGGTGTGACAATACCTTTACAGGTGTAACAAGGTGTGACAATACTTTAACAGGTGTGACAAGGTGTGACAATACCTTTACAGGTGTAACAAGGTGTGACAATACTTTAACAGGTGTGACAAGGTGTGACAATACCTTTACAGGTGTAACAAGGTGTGACAATACTTTAACAGGTGTGACAAGGTGTGACAATACCTTTACAGGTGTAACAAGGTGTGACAATACTTTAACAGGTGTGACAAGGTGTGACAATACCTTTACAGGTGTAACAAGGTGTGACAATACTTTAACAGGTGTGACAAGGTGTGACAATACCTTTACAGGTGTAACAAGGTGTGACAATACTTTAACAGGTGTGACAAGGTGTGACAATACCTTTACAGGTGTAACAAGGTGTGACAATACTTTTACAGATGTAACAAGGTGTGACAATACTTTTACAGGTGTGACAAGGTGTGACAATACTTTTACAGGTGTAACATGGTGTGACAAGGTGTGAAAATACTTTTACAGGTGTGACAAGGTGTGACAATACTTTTACATGTGTAACAAGGTGTGACAAGGTGTGACAATACCTTTACAGGTGTGACAAGGTGTGACAATGTGTGACAAGGTGTGACAAGGTGTGACAATACTTTTGTAGGTGTGACAAGGTGTTGCAAGGTGTGACAATACCTTTACAGGTGTGACAAGGCAGCAATTTTTACCTGTAGTTTGGTGAGTCTGTCCTCGATGTCGTGTTTATCACCGGCAAGGTCTGCACAAACTTGCAGACGCTGATGTAGTGTGTCAACCCATTCGGAACACTCCGCGAAGTTTTCCTGGTATGCCTCGTGTTCCCGGGCATGCTCCTGTTGCCGGCTTATCACATCCTGTTACGTGACATAAAGTCAGTTTAATTTTAATAAATAATGTTTTTCACTGCTTTTCTACACTTTGAATCAGAATTCAATAAGGCTGATCACGACTTCATGGATTGGAACACACCTTTCTTCACAATGACATTTCTATAGAATTTTTAACGCATTCAGTTAAGTAGGGGTTTGATAGATATAACCATACTGTTGAAATGTTAAAAATCTCTCTCTCTGAACATTTTTGTAAACTTGAAAAGAATGTATTGCACGTTTTCTTGCTTTACCATGTAAACCCATACTGTAACTGTTTCATCATACCAACAAAAACCAGACATTTGTAAAGTGTAATATTCCAAGCCCCAAGATCTGAAACCTATCAGGAGCCATATCTATCTATCTGCATTTATGTCTCAGTTGAATACAAGCTCTGGCCACCTGCCACCTGATTCATCAAATTACAGAAACTACTAAAGGAGTTTTCTCAGACTAGTTCCCTGGATGGGAGGACTAACTCCCTGGATGGAGGACTAACTCCCTGGATGGAGGACTAACTCCCTGGATGGAAGGATAAACTCCTTGATAGTAAATTTAGCAGGAAATTGGGAATAAAGTCAATAAAACTGATTACTTTCATAAGAGAAAACAAAGTACAGATATATAATAACAACAATCAAAACCTTATGTTGCATTTTTAATGAAAAGGAAAAGAGAATGTGAAGTTGAGCCTACCCTAAGGTTGGTCTTTGCTGTCTGGAACCGTGTCCCAAGCTGAGTACTGAAGTTAACCAGTCGTGTGTCTGATCCTTGTACTTGGGACGCCATGTTGGAGAGTTCATCAAACTGAGGCTGCTTGGACTGTACTTCTGCTTGTAATGTCTGCAGGAAACAAAACATTTACGGCACATAGAAATATCAAAATATCAACCTCAAAGCTATTTACTGTATCTTCTTTCACAGTAACAAAACCGATCTACATAGATGAACCAATGAAATGTTTTAAGAAGTCATGGATATAAAAGACAACCTCGACCAATGATTACAGAAAAATCCCAGAAACTTCCTTTGAACAGACAAAGTGCATGCAGAAATCTGAAATATTGAAGAGTCTCTATAATAAAGCAATATTAACCTTGAACTTTTCCACCTGAGCATGTTTTTCCTTGAGTGATGACTTGAGTTCATGCTCCTTGATTTGTATCTCAACATCACGGAGCCACCTGTTGAGTGATTCACATGAGCTGTCATAACTCTGTATTGCCTGGACGGCATGCGTTAAGCTCTGCTGAGTATCCCCCAGACGTGACACCACACCTTCCCATTCTGTGGTCAGGCTTTCCAGTTCTGCTTGTATAGTTGCCTGACCTGGTTTCCCTGTCTGGGGAATTGACTTCTCACCCTGCACGTGCGTGTCCTTGACCTTTTTCTCACCATCATGCAGAGCAGTCGTCAGGTCCTGTGATAAGGGATGTACAGTGTTCATCAATCATTATTTCAAATTCCCTTTTTTTTCTCCAAATTTGATACTTAAAATTAAATTTTCATAAGAAAATGTAAAAATCTGCCCACAAGTACTGAACATCAAGTAAAAAAATGTTCAGGATTATATTAGATTCTGATGTTCAAATTTCAGATTTCAATAGGTTTGGCCTATTTCAAGCAAATATCTACTATAATGGTTTAAAGTTTACAAAATTAGCTCTTATTATACCTTTGACCTAGAGCTAAAGGTAACAGGACATAATGACAGTGCACAGCACACCAGTTGTGGACAATGCACGCATACTTAGTAGAAATCTAGGATATCTTTATAAGTGATGGCCTGGACAGGGTTATATTAGAAGATGAACCAGCACAAACACTTGGATTACCAGCATTAGTTACACTGACCTGTACTCTGTCCAGTCTATTCTGTAATGCCTGTCGATCACCCGTCGTCTCTGAGCAGACGGCCAGTTTGTCCTTGGTCATGGCCATAGCATCGCGACACTGCTGATAGCTGTCTTGATACAGCTGGTGCTGGTCAACAAAGCCCTCGGCAGTCTTCACTTGATCCTACACAGTTCAAAACACACACAGACATTAGCCGACAGAAATACTGTCATAAAGACATATTTGGACTTTTTACCCACAATGCGATTGTGGGGCAGGCATATTTACTGTCAGAGTTAATTTCATAATTCACAATTAGATAATGTCAATTAAAGTACAGCCATAGCAAGTTTGTGGTAAGGATAATTCCTTAAAAACAGAGAATAACAACTTTTCCAATTTTTATTGACCACTGTAGATGTTTGCCCATTTTTTATTGACCACTGTAGACGTTTGCCCATTTTTTATTGAACACTGTCGACGTTTGCCCATTTTTTATTGACCACTGTCGACGTTTGCCCATTTTTTATTGACCACTGTAGACGTTTGCCCATTTTGTACCTGAGCACCACCACACAGGGTGCGATAGCGGTTGTTGAGTTGGTTCAGCTTGCTTTTTGCTTGTGTTGATGAGAGTGCAGTCCCCTTATCACCGATGCTGTCAATCATTGTCTGGTGCGACATGATGTCCTGACAACGGGTCTATATGAAGGGATCAAAATGTCAAACAAACGTACAAGCAAAATATTTAAATTGTGGGTAAATCTTCATGTTAATGTAAAACTATTGAACAGGAAGAATCCTTCTTACAAAATTGGAGAGAGCTTTGTCAAGTTCTCCTGAGAAATAAGGACAGATAAGGACCAAGAGGAATCTACATATGAAATCTGAGTAAGAGCAAGAACAAGAATGATTTAGCGACAGATAACAGTTGAACAGACAAACAAGATTACTGAAAATTAAAAATTAAAAACTTTTGAGTCTATTTAGATTTTTAAAAACTATATTAGATCATGCATCTTCGGACCAGCCATGCATTCTACTAGACATGAACATCAGGCAGGCATAATGATGGAGACGTTAACTCCTGCAGCCCATCAGCAATTAGTATATAATGGAGTACTGAAATGACTTAAACTACTCTTCACTGCAAACATGTTCTACTAAATCCCAATCATCAATTTATCAAACATGATGTTACTGAAGCCCAAACATACTTAACACCGATACATGTCTACCAGGGATGCTGTATCAGTAATTGTCATTGGTCAAAAGCATACTAAAATAGCAACCAATCACAGCTTACTAACACAGCAGTAAAATGGTTACAAGCATCATTTCCATGGCAACCATATGAAACCATGGCAGCATTACATGATGACATTCAAGCCTTGGTTTGACATGCAAACAAACCTAAAGTTAGTCAGTTCAAAATGAAAAAGCTTTTTGTTTCATTCAAAAGTTTGAAAACCAAACAAATACAAAAATAAAAAGCTCCAGCAACTGATGTTGGTGTTGTTAGCAGTTCAAACAAGTCTTTAATATACCCGGTAATGCTGCAGCATGGCTTTCTTCTCCTGAAGGGAGTTACACAAATCCTGGTCGTCCTCTATCTGACCCTCCATGTCCGACACCCACTTGGACAGTTGGTCGTAATTGTCATCAAATGTTGACCACTGCATGCGGCTACTCTCTAGTTGGCGCTGGGTGTCATTGAGACTGTCATTGAAAGACTCCCACATCTCACGCAGGGACCGTAACTCACGGCGAACTCCCTCACGCCCGTCATTTGAGGTATTCGGGTAGAGTTTCTCTCCCGATTCTAAGGCTGAGTTAAATTTGCCCAGCCCTTGTTCCTTGCTTTCTAACAGGTCCTGCAAGCAATACATCAATTTCATGCCATATTTCTTATACACAGCCCAACTACTTTACACATGTTATCAAAAACATACTACTGTCATTCAAATATATCTCTTACTACCATTCAACTTGATTGAAAGCCATTTCATGTACTGTATAGCTGGTCATTTTTGTGAGGAATTTTATTTCTCTATATTCACGGTCACAAATGACAGCACAAAACTAGAACACTGACAGGTAATCAAGGGCCCTACCATGTAACACACACCCCCCCCAAAAAGTCTATATTTAGTAAGAGTAACCTTGACCTTAAACACTTTGTTTAAACCCCTATAGCACATCTACATATTACAGTATCTCCTTGTCGAATTTCAGAAAGATTGGTGTTTTGGTTTTCAAGATAATCTCCAGAATTAAAGTGAAGACACACAGACAGTGTGAATACTATAGAGCACCCATATTTCTGATGCGGGGCCCTTGTAATAATTAAATACCAAGTGAATAATAATACCAGGAATAAACAGTAATAAAACAAAACACCTGTTTACTCTCAATTGCCTAAAAATAGAGATAAAACAACAATTCAGAATCGTATCTTACATTATTTTGATAAAACCCTTGTCAAATAAATCCAATCACCAAAATACAAAAGTACCCCTGTGAGCGCTAGATTTTTAACCGGCAATGTCACACAAAAATTTAATGCCAGCAGGCTAGTTCTGAACATGACAACCACAAATTATAGCCCCACGAATTTAAACAACTATACAGTATCAGCACGAACACTTTCTCAGTAAGTCAGATTTCACAGAGAAGTATTAATATAAACCACCATCAACAGCAACAGAACAATCAATTTTACAAACCATATCATATAGAAATGATACATATCAGTGTCAGAACATAATACATGTATATGTATCAAGGGTGGCAAGGATATTTCAAAGCAGAGAACTCCATTCCGTACAACATGCGTAAACAGAGGGGTAGACTTTTGTTAGTTCTGGAATCATGCGTATCGTAGATGAGGATGCCAGGCTTCCAGGGTCAGTTTTACAGACCTAACACTAACAGTTACAGAATCTTGTATCCAAGACACTTTGGAAAATGCTCTCAAACATTCACAAAATTGCCCTTATATATCTATAGTTGTTATGAAATCTTTCAAAGTTAGAAATTCATCGCAAGATCAACCCAACAAGTTGTATATCCATGTTTACTTGTCGTGATCTTCTTACCTCTACAGTTTCAATCTTGGCCTGTAGAGACTGTGGGTCGTCAGCCAGATTGGAACACTCCTCAAGGTTTTGTTGGGCTGATTTCAGCCAGTCCACACATGACTTGTGTCGCTGAATGTAACTATCATGATCCTCTACATTTTCCTCACACTTCTCAACTTGTTCCTGCAGAGAAAATTAAAACCAAACATATTACGTCAATTTCTACCAAAAACATAAACAGGTTAACCAACCCTTGTTGAGGGAGGCTCGTTAACTTGGTGTCTCCTATGCTAAGTCCGATGCCATGTGTGAGATTGAGATATGTGATATAAAACATTTCTCCTTCATATCATGCGAAGTGGCCCTCAAAGGGACCATCACCACGAGAACCTGACAACGATTGTATCACCAGGCAATGACTGCCGTGCGTCTGTAATCTACTGTTGAATTGATTGAGAGGGAGACCGTAAACCACTGCCAACACGTGTTTGAGCAAGTACGATTACTCGAGTCTGGAACAAACAATCTGACACAAGCCAAAAAGAAATAAATTCTAATGACAAAGTAAAGTATCCTTTGATTTCTTGATACAATCAAGCATAGAAATTAGTTATACATCTAATACTTCAATCCTTTCTAGTAACATGGTGTTGCCCTCAGAATGACATTGAATGAGTTACCTTGACAGAAGATGAGAGAGACTGGTATCTAGTGTACAGCTGGCCGGCGTATGATGCTGTGCGCCCATCTCCAGTGGAGCGTGAGATTTCCTGAGCAGAATCCTTCAATGCTTCAAACTGTGAGCGATGGGCCTGCACCTCCAGCTCCATTTCCTGCAAGTAATACACAGCATTTACGCCCATCTTATACAATGCCATACGCCCATCTTATACAATGCCATAAGTCCAAGTAACAAAAATGTTAAAATTTACTTCAAACAAATACAAATTAGACTATTAAAAACTTCAGTTCAAACTCTGATGCATTAAAAAAAGGAATTAAACCCTAATCATACATTGTTATTTTTTTCCAGGAAATTACAAACTTACACCAAAGAGCTCCAACTGGTCCATTTTGTTCTGTAGGTCGGGTTTAAGGCTAGCCTCATTGCGGATCCTAGCCTCGGTGGCCTTCAGCCACTGGGAGAGACCTTCGTACTTATTGTCATACTGCATCCACTGGTCAATGGAGCTCTCCAGTTTATGTCTAAAAGGTAAGAATAGGTCATCCATCGGATTTTTCAAACACCATGAATCCAACATATCATTCAAATAAAGTAATAATTTCACACATTTTCCTCTGTTTATGTTGAACTAATTGTAGTTATCTGTCTTACAGATTCAGATAATCCACTTGAAATATTACCCTTACATAAGTTCAGGAACAGAAACAAGTTATAGAACATTAATACAATGTTATTTCTTTTTTTGCAAAGCTGTGAACACATACTGTGTGCTGTCCATCTGCTTGACCAGGTCTGCCCAATCTTTTTCTGCTTCTTTCTTCTGTCTATCCAGCTCTGCTTGTTTCTCCTTGGGAAGGACAGCCTTGACCATATCAACCTTAGAGGCAGCCAGAGCCTTTTTCTTCTCTCCTTCTTTGGTATTTCCCATCAGTTCCTACACAAACAAACATGTGTGACGTTTTGTGACAATCAGACAAGAAATGAAGTCATTAATGTTAGCGCAATTTCTAACAAATATTATTTATAGTAATAGTGGCCTAGTTTCTGAACAGAGGATTTCAAAACGAAACTCATGCACGAAGTGTTTGTAGGTTATGTGAAGTTTCAGAATAACGTTTGTCGAGCATCGACATTAAAACATCTATCAAATTCTTTTTATGGAAACAATGACCTATTTTATTAACTTAAAATGTTGAAACACAAAACTATTAAAGAGGTGATGTTTGTTAATATGTGTATGAAGTTTCATGAGAGACAAAGAAATAGAAGCGGTAGGTTGATACACACTTCTGATGTATCCTAATTTGATTGAGAAGGGAGAATGATATCGTCTTCCCTCTTCCATGATGAATTATTTTGGATAGTCATCAATATTGTTTTTAGATTCTGATTTCTTTGTCAAAATGAATATCATTAAGTTCTTTCAATCTCAACTTAATGTCATCTACTCAAACAAGGCTTTACCTTGATGGTGCCAAGCTTGGCCTCCACACTGTAGCGGTCCCCAGCAATGTCCCCACACCAAGCTACTTTCTCCTTGGCAGCAGTAAGCCAGCGTTGCTGTTGTAGTTGGGCATCTTGGCAGTGCTGTTCCAGTGAGCTCTCCAGGGTGTCCTCAATCTTGTCAGCACGATTACGAGAAGCTTCAAATTTCTTGGTAAGCACGATTGCATCTTTGGCAAGGTTGCTTGTTTCAGCTGAAGGATATTTGGCTTGAAGTGCATTTGATTTTTCTTGTAGATCTTTGACGTTTTTCCTGTGACTGTCCATTTCAGCTTGTAGTTCCTTAAAAAATGACACCATCAAAACTAAGTTTGAAAGTTGTGGTGATTTTTCACATGACCATGCATTCACTAACTTCTGCAATTTTCATAAACATGACTTGTGAAAAGTAAACTATGTTATCCTCTAACTATTTGCATTAAACAAGGGGGAGACATTGAAGTGAAGATGATTATTTGGCATGATCATTACACAGAGTAACGATCTGTACTAGGCCTGGTCATGATTATTACACAGAGTAACGATCTGTACTAGGCCTGGTCATGATTATTACACAGAGTAATGATCTGTACTAGGCCTGGTCATGATTATTACACAGAGTAATGATCTGTACTAGGCCTGGTCATGATTATTACACAGAGTAATGATCTGTACTAGGCCTGGTCATGATTATTACACAGAGTAATGATCTGTACTAGGCCTGGTCATGATTATTACACAGAGTAATGATCTGTACTAGGCCTGGTCATGATTATTACACAGAGTAATGATCTGTACTAGGCCTGGTCATGATTATTACACAGAGTAATGATCTGTACTAGGCCTGGTCATGATTATTACACAGAGTAATGATCTGTACTAGGCCTGGTCATGATTATTACACAGAGTAATGATCTGTACTAGGCCTGGTCATGATTATTACACAGAGTAATGATCTGTACTAGGCCTGGTCATGATTATTACACAGAGTAATGATCTGTACTAGGCCTGGTCATGATTATTACACAGAGTAATGATCTGTACTAGGCCTGGTCATGATTATTACACAGAGTAATGATCTGTACTAGGCCTGGTCATGATTATTACACAGAGTAATGATCTGTACTAGGCCTGGTCATGATTATTACACAGAGTAATGATCTGTACTAGGCCTGGTCATGATTATTACACAGAGTAATGATCTGTACTAGGCCTGGTCATGATTATTACACAGAGTAATGATCTGTACTAGGCCTGGTCATGATTATTACACAGAGTAATGATCTGTACTAGGCCTGGTCATGATTATTACACAGAGTAATGATCTGTACTAGGCCTGGTCATGATTATTACACAGAGTAATGATCTGTACTAGGCCTGGTCATGATTATTACACAGAGTAATGATCTGTACTAGGCCTGGTCATGATTATTACACAGAGTAATGATCTGTACTAGGCCTGGTCATGATTATTACACAGAGTAATGATCTGTACTAGGCCTGGTCATGATTATTACACAGAGTAATGATCTGTACTAGGCCTGGTCATGATTATTACACAGAGTAATGATCTGTACTAGGCCTGGTCATGATTATTACACAGAGTAATGATCTGTACTAGGCCTGGTCATGATTATTACACAGAGTAATGATCTGTACTAGGCCTGGTCATGATTATTACACAGAGTAATGATCTGTACTAGGCCTGGTCATGATTATTACACAGAGTAATGATCTGTACTAGGCCTGGTCATGATTATTACACAGAGTAATGATCTGTACTAGGCCTGGTCATGATTATTACACAGAGTAATGATCTGTACTAGGCCTGGTCATGATTATTACACAGAGTAATGATCTGTACTAGGCCTGGTCATGATTATTACACAGAGTAATGATCTGTACTAGGCCTGGTCATGATTATTACACAGAGTAATGATCTGTACTAGGCCTGGTCATGATTATTACACAGAGTAATGATCTGTACTAGGCCTGGTCATGATTATTACACAGAGTAATGATCTGTACTAGGCCTGGTCATGATTATTACACAGAGTAATGATCTGTACTAGGCCTGGTCATGATTATTACACAGAGTAATGATCTGTACTAGGCCTGGTCATGATTATTACACAGAGTAATGATCTGTACTAGGCCTGGTCATGATTATTACACAGAGTAATGATCTGTACTAGGCCTGGTCATGATTATTACACAGAGTAATGATCTGTACTAGGCCTGGTCATGATTATTACACAGAGTAATGATCTGTACTAGGCCTGGTCATGATTATTACACAGAGTAACGATCTGTACTAGGCCTGGTCATGATTATTACACAGAGTAATGATCTGTACTAGGCCTGGTCATGTAGCCTTCCTACCAAACCTTTTACTTACCCTACATATCTGCAGCCTCTTCACAAGATCTTCATCAGTCCCAGAAACATCGTCACATTTTGCAAGCTTGTCCTTGATCTTGTTAACAAATCTGACCTCCTTTTCCACCTCCTTCTGAAGAGTTCCACGTTCATCAGAGAAGTCGGTCATTATGCTCTCAAGCTTGCTGGCCATGTTGGTTGCCTTTTCCATCTGCTCCTCGATGGCCTCCTGCTGGGCAACCAGCCCTGGTATCTCGTGGTCCTTGTTTAGCTCAGTTAGGTCCTGTACCTTCTGCTGGAGCTCTGACAAAACTTCCTTGAAATAAGGAGCCTCCTCCTAGAAAGAAACCACATTGAAATAATGACATGCAAAGCACATAATCGAAGCAAAGAACCTGATTTATAACGGAATCAAAGTACTGAAAGAAATATACTTAGCATATAAACAAAGCATTTTCAATTCTTCCCTTTTAACAGATAGACAGTTTATACCCCCCCCCCAAAAAAAGAAGCTTTTTTATAGGGGTATAGAAATTATCCTTCAATTCATTTCTGTTATTATGCACACTTTGGCAAATTCTTTGTTTAAACTTGATATTTGAATGACCTATAAATTCCTTTTTCAAACAACTTGACATTAACAATTTCCAAATAGTGAATTTTAAATTCTCAAATTGGTAAGATGATAAGACATTAGTTTAAGCTATTAGTTCCATGTTTTATACAGCTACTATTTCTATCTTATAATCTACGAAATGAATTACCTTGTATTTCATTAAACAGGATTCCACGCTCACAGCATCATCAAAATGTTTGAGACTGTCGTCAAGTTTGGTAACCATGGTATTGACCCATGACTCCACCTCTTCTTTCCCAGTTTGTACTTGGTCCCAGCATACAAGCTGTGCCTCAAGGTTCTCCATGTGATTCTCAACATCCTGAAAAACAGTAAAGGGTCATTTTCATCCAGATCACTAATTTTCTTTGTAAAATTGAGCAAGTAGTATAAAAAAGTTAAATCAGAAGTACTGAAGGAATGCAACACAAAAACGGATTAGAACCTGGCAGCCACCTGGATTTCTTTTTCCCCATTAATTCTCAAAAAACCCATAATAATAATAAACATTAACAAGGGCCAAGGAGAATCTACATACAGACCAATGGGCCTGTATTGCTCACCTGCTATTAATCTATTACTTTGAACCATAAAAGTGGACCAATTTCAGATGCATATAAATGGATTAAATACAGCTACAAGTCAAATATCCGTTCATATGACTCTAGGTTATTCTAAAGAACCTTTTAGAAGACTTTAACACATTTGACCTTAGTGACATTTAAAGCCTCACAAGGTCATTCAACTGAACAATCTTGGCAGCACTTCATCCGTATAAGTAGATCCTGGCCAAACATCATCACCTTGTGACTTTTGGTTAATGAAAAGAGGTTGTTTAAGGATTTTAACAAACTTGACCTAAGCGACCTTGAGAGTTGGTAAAAAATCGTTCATGATAATATCATCACCCTAGATTTTTCAGTTCTTCAGAAGAAACCATTTAAAAATTTTGAGATATTTGACATCTGTGACCTTGAATATATCAGTCATCTGTAATCACAAACATTTTTCCATCCAAGGAAGATACCAGCCACGTACCATGATTCTTCGGCATTTCCTTTCTTCAGAAGTGCAGTTTGATTTTCTTTTACATATTTGACCCTTGTGACCTTGAATACAGATCAAGGTAATTTTTCTTTTCACAAACTTTGATGCACTCGATCCCTGGAAGCTATTTACTTAATATCATGAGTCTAGCCCTTTCCATTCTCCAGAAGAAGTATTGTGAACTTTTTTGACAAATTTGCCCTTGTCACCTTGAACACAGGTCAAGATCATTGTTGGGCTTTATCCTAGGAAACTACCAGCATCGTATCATAATTCTAGGCCCTTCCATTCTTCAGTCAATTCTGACATACTTAAAAAATCTTTTTGATGCATTATTGCATCTAAATATATGAAAATATGGAAATGTGAGAAGAATTAACATTTCTACTGTATTACTCATTGAAGGTGAAAACTATTTCTGAAACTTGACTAACTAAAGTTAAAGTAATGTATATACATTTCTTATATCCTGTATGACCTTTGCCTGTGAATAAGAAGAGGGTACATACTGAATTGGCAGTCTCCCACTTATGGTTGACCTGGTCCATGTCCTGTTCTAGGACTGCCACGTTGAAGTTGGGCGTGTTCTTCAGTTCCTCTAACAGCTGTAGTCCACGGTTGTTCATCTGGTCCAGTTGGGACTGGTTAGCATGTAGTTCAAACTCTGCATTCTGGAGACACAGAGAAATTCATTTTAATTGTACTGTTGCTCGTGTATTTTTCTATATCATTATCTCTGTTCCAACTTCATATGTATCCTTATCTTCGTCTACATTGTTTGTCTGAGTTGCTTTATATAGAGTAAAAGGCCCTCAATAACAGTACTTGCTAAAACTAAATTTACCTTGTGTTGATCAAGGGACTTCTTGACCTCTGCCTGGGTGGCAAATGTTACATCCTGTGAAATCACAGGTTCAACATCCTCCATAACGCGCGCCACACCTTGCTTGGCATCATTGTACTGCTGCCAGAGGTTTGCGGCACCAGAATATGTTTGGTGTTTCTGGGCGAGTAGGGCCTGGATCTGGTCCCATGCCATGTTTACCTCTGACAGGTTTGACTGAACAGGTGCACCCTTACTAATGTCAGCCTGCATGATCTGTCGGCCAAGTTCACGTAGCTGCTCGTACTCCGGGTTGTAAGTCAACAGGTCATCTCTGGCGTCCTGAGGAAGATATTTTCATTTTTAGTTTTAAACACATCTAAAATGAGATCAGAGGAATATTATGGATACATTTAACTCAATCCACCCTACAAAATGGCATTGTTGTACATACCTCAATTTCTCGCACCAAGTCCTTGATGCCCTGGAGGCTGGAGTTCTCCACTGTGGAACCATCAATCTTCTGTGCAAGCATATGTAGTTTGTCAACAAGTCCTTCCTTCTTGTCAGTGAAGTCCTCCCATAGTTGTGTCAGTTCACCCAGGTGGTCTTCCTTCTGCTTGGCGTTGGTAGACACATTGCCACACATGCTCTCAATTGCCTGGACTTCAGTGCCGAAGTGTAGAGTCCGCTGTGTGGCGCGGTCTTTAATGGTCATCTGTGAGGTTGCCATGAGATCGTCAAGCTTCTCCGCCTTCTGTGCCCAAGGTCCCATGCTGCGCCAGAGTCCTTCAACCTCCCTGTTTATCTTGGTCACCTCCTCTTCAGTGATGTCTGGTGACGCTAACTTGGCCTTCAGGACCTTGAGGCGGTTCTGTGTGTCCTTGTGGTCAGTGGCATAACTTGACCAGTTATCGCACAGTTCCTCACGGTTCTTGATCAAATCCTCCACCTTGGTGTATCCAGCGATGAGGTGGTCAAATCTGTCACTTAAAATGGCAGCCTCATCCTCATTACAATCTTTCATGAGGTCTTTGAATTCCTGGGAGAGACTGTTGAAGGTCGGCTCCTGACCCACACATTCACCCTTCAGAGCCTGTAAATAACGCCAATACTTTAATAAATCTGTAGTAACAAATCATTCTATTAATTTGTAGTCCGGAGATTTATATGTTCCAGATACAAAACTGGAAAAGTCTGTTCACCTCATTTACCACCTACATATGTATGTGTACATCCTCCTATATATAACACCAAATCCTCTTATACTGCTCAGTGAACTGCCCTAATTCTGGCAGTAAAATAAAAATTTACTGTTCAATATAGAAATAAATGAAATACATGTATTATGTGACAATTCTAGCACAAAGTATTTTTACAATGTAGAAACGGTACAAAAATTGAACTATAGCTTTTGAAAAAATTCCAATATCCCATGAATGACCAAAAAAAACAACCTTTAATTTAGATTGCGTCTCTGCAACTTCGTCCGAGTAGATTTCGTTTCCAGTGTCCAGTTTTCGTTGTGTTTTCTTCAGCCACTTCTCGAAGTCCTGCAGCTGAGAGTAAAAGTCCTGTCTGTGGCGTACTGCAGCGTTCAGCATAGACTGTCGTTCACTTGCATCCTCGGAGATTTTCTCATACGCTCCTTTCACTGCATCGTGTTTGGACTTGAGTGACTTGACACCGTCGGGTGTAGCATGCTGTTTCACCTGCTCGAACTGTCTCTGTAAGGCAGTCAGATGCGGCTGCTGGCCACGGATCTCTTCCTGCAGCGTCTGTCGGAAACAAAGTAATCAAATGGTTAAAGTTGTACTTTTAATATAATGGATCAAATTCAAGATAAACTTTTTTAATGAACCAATAACCCCTGTTTTAAGAGATGATGTACTTAACCTCCCTTGACAGAACTCTCTTACCTTACAAATGGCAAGTTCATGCTCGAGAACTTGGACATCTGTCGAACTGACATTGGGTTCTTGTGCGAGGCGGGTCTGGAACTTCTCAAGAACCTCATCAAAGTTGTTGAGTTCTTGGTCATATGCTGTCCACGCACCATGCATTTTGTCCACTTTATGGCTGCGCCCCTCAGAAGCACTGATGATGTCATTCCAGCGTTTCTGGAGAGTTTCCATATCCTTGGCCATGTTGGGCTGGTCCATAAGGTAGCCTGCCTCAGTATTCATCTTCTCAAACACAGGGAACTGTTCCTCGCACTCATGCAGGAAGGACTGCACACAAAACCAAATTTAGAAAAAAAGGCAGGAAAAAGAAATGACCCAAAAAATTTCAAATAACAACATTAATTTTAAAAAACAATTTCTAACTTTTTCTCTTGCATTATTTTACTTTTCATTCAATTTCATCAAAGAACTGCTTGTGTGTATGTGTTTACCTGATGAAGTTCATAAAGGTCTCGCGCCTCCTCCAGTGAGGAGCACTTTGGTAGCTCTGTTGCACAGTATTTTTCTGCCTTCACTATCCAAGGCATCAAGCGCTGCGACAGGTTCTGGTGTGTCTGCCAGTGAGCCACGCTTCCTGTCAGTGCAGAGCTTCGGTCCTGGGCACGCGAGCACAGACTCTCCCACTGGCGACGGACACTAGCCAGCTTTGTCCTCAGAGCAGCAGTTTCACGGGAACGAAAGTTCTGTGACATACCCTTAGCATCCTTCTCTAGAGTTTCTAGTGTAATGTGATTCTCATAAACCTCTGATGCAATTGCCTGCAGGTAAATATGTTTACCATTAAACAAATGCCACAGGATCTTATTGATTCTGATTGATAATACAAATAGACAATGAAATAATTAATTTTTATGCAAAAAATTCTGCTTGATAATACAAAAAGAAAATGAGATAATTAATTTTCATGCGATAATTAATCTTGATAACATAAGAAGAATATGACATAAAGAATGTTTAACTAAACGTTACAAACAATGCAGGCATCTCCATCCTACCTTGGATTTATTCAGTTGTTCTTCAGGTGCGTCAGATTTATTTTCATACACCTCATTGAGTTTAGCCTCTCTCTCATTCAGCCAATCACAGAAGTGATTCAGACGTTTGTAGTACTCCGTCCACTTAGCAATGGTGGCCTCTAGGTCAGCCAATTTGGCATTCAGTCTAACAGAGACATTCTCAAGCCGTTTGTCAATATCAGTTAGCTCCCCTTTCAGAGGTCCTCGTCTCTCCCGACTTGCACTTTCACTAAGGGCAGCGTTTAGTTTCTGCATCTCAGAAATGTTTCCCTTTAGTCTGCTCAGTGCATTTTTAAGCTCCTAAAATAAAAAGGTAAATACCTAAATCAATATTGATAAATTTGAATATTTCTTTCATACAAAAAGTTTTCATCTTATCCAGCTTTGAATTATTTAAGTTTTACATTCCTTTGGCTATGACTTAAATATATTTGCTGCAGTTAGCTACTGACCTTCTTTGAGTTGAGGTCCTTCTGAGCGAGTTCCTGTCCTGTAGTTGCAGGAGGCTTCTCAAGCTCTGCCTCTGCCTTCTTAAGGTACTGAATCATCTGGCCCTTCTGGGTCTCATACTGTTCCCAGTCCTTGACCTTTTCCTGCAAAAGAAGGCAAGAAGTTTGATGAGTGTTTACATTAATAGAGGTCAAGGTCAATCAGATAGTGTCCTTTTTCATATATTCAAAAATTCCTCCTCTCCCCTACAGCTTCCTCAAAGTTCAAACAACAGACCTCTCTCCTCTACAGTTTCCTCAAAGTTAAAACACAACAGACCTCTCTCCTCTACAGTTTCCTCAAAGTTAAAATACAACAGATCTCTCTCCTCTACAGCTTCCTCAAAGTTCAAACAACAGACCTCTCCTCTACAACTTCCTCAAAGTTCAAACACAACAGACCTCCTCTCTCCTCTACAACTTCCTCAAAGTTCAAACATAACAGACCTCCTCTCCTCTACAGCTTTTTCACGTACAATCAAGACAGATTAAAGTACAAGGTATACTTGACTGACAACACCATCAATTATTCCAGAATCATCATTCCTTTCATCTCCCATACTTGGAACAATATCCATGTCAACTTTTAAAATCACTGGTCCTTCCTTCTGCAATGGAGATTCCAAGAATGTGCCATTCCTTTTTGACCTGTATTGTGAGTAATCAATCAAATTCTGATGTATATTGGAAACCATCTAGCAATCTGGTACATAGCTCTACCATTATTTACAGGACATTGTAACTGTTTACCAACAAATAATCTGAGATACAAAACACAATCTGAGAAGTAAAACTTGTACAGTATCTACTGCTACCACTGTAGCAGGCTCCAGTGTCTGACCTTCCCCTATCAGAGAAAACATCAATACACCTCCCCGATTATCATAAATGTATGTATATCCTATGTTTATCTTCCAGCCAGTTCCTAAATCCCATTGATTCTGCCTCCATCTCTTGTTTGTGATAAGTGAATACCATATGGTAAAGGGGTTCCCTGGCTGGTTAGCTTAACCATAAACTTACCAGTACCATAGGCCATGTCATCAACCCATAGGCCATGTCAACAACCCCTGGCTGGTTAGCTTTACCATAAAATTACCAGTACCATAGGCCATGTCAACAACCCATAGGCCATGTCAACAACCCCTGGCTGGTTAGCTTAACCATAAATTTACCAGTACCATAGGCCATGTCAACAAGCCTTACAGCATTTTAAAATTGATAATCATCATTTTCTTGTTATGAATTTAAGTCTATTAAATGAACTATAAATATTAGAAGTTTCTTTTGGTAATTTTTCGGCATAATAAAATATGGTGTTTCTTAAAATTAACAAAATTGTTGATACTGTTAAAATAATCAGGACACTTTACTATCTTTCCAATGTTGAAATAATGCTAAAGTGATCTATCCACACAAACCTGATGTTATGGAACACTGATATAGAGGTGTCGCAGAAAGGCAAAAGTTATATGTAATTTACCTCAAAGTGGGCTTCTGTAGCCAGAAAGGTAAAAGTTGTATGTGATTAACCTCACGGTGGGCTACTGTAGCCAGAAATATCATTTACCTCAAAGTGGGCTTCTGTAGCCAGAAAGGTAACAGTTGTATATAATTTACCTCACACTGGGCTGCTGTAGCCAGAAAGGTAAAAGTTATAAATAATTTACCTCAAAGTTGGCTTCTGTAACCAAAAAGGTAAAAGTTGTATGTGATTTACCTCAAAGTGGGCTTCTGTAGCCAGAAAGGTAGCAGTTGTATATAATTTACCTCACACTGGGCTGCTGTAGCCAGAAAGGTAAAAGTTGTATGTGATTTACCTCAAAGTGGGCCTCTGTAGCCAGAAAGGTAAAAGTTATATTTAATTTACCTCAGTGAGCTTCTGTAGCCAGAAAGGTAAAAGTTATAAATAATTTACCTCAAAGTTGGCTTCTGTAGCCAAAAAGGTAAAAGTTGTATGTGATTTACCTCAAAGTGGGCTTCTGTAGCCAGAAAGGTAAAAGTTGTATGTGATTAACCTCACGGTGGGCTACTGTAGCCAGAAATATCATTTACCTCAAAGTGGGCTTCTGTAGCCAGAAAGGTTAAAGTTATATGTAATTTACCTCAAAGTGGGCTTCTGTAGCCAGAAAGGTAAAAGTTGTATGTGAATAACCTCACGGTGGGCTACTGTAGCAAGAAATATCATTTACCTCAAAGGGGGCTTCTGTAGCCAGTTGTATGTGATTAACGTCACGGTGGGCTACTGTAGCAAGAAATATCATTTACCTCAAAGTGGGCCTCTGTAGCCAGAAAGATAAAAGTTATATGTAATGTACCTCAGTGAGCTTCTGTAGCCAGACAGGTAAAAGTTGTATATTATTTACCTCAAAGTGGTCTTCTGTAGCCAGAAATATCATTTATCTCAAAGTGGGCTTCTCTAGCCATAAAGGTAAAAGTTATATCTAATTTACCTCAGTGAGCTTCTGTAGCCAGAAAGGTAAAAGTTGTATATAATTTACCTCAAAGTGGGCTTCTGTAGCCAGAAAGGTAAAAGCTATATGTAATTTACCTCACAGTGGACTTCTGTAGCCAGAAAGGTAAAAGTTATATGTAATTTACCTCAGTGAGTCCTGTAGCCAGAAAGGTAAAAGTTATAAGTAATTTACCTCAAAGTGGGCTTCTGTAGCCAGAAAGGTAAAACTTATATGTAATTTACCTCTCAGTGGGCTTCTGTAGCCAGAACGGTAAAAGTTATATGCAATTTACCTCGAAGTGGGCTTCTGTAGCCAGAAAGGTAAAAGTTGTATATAATTTACCTCACAGCGGGCTTCTGTAGCCAGAAAGGTAAAAGCTATATGTAATTTACCTCACAGTGGGCTTCTGTAGCCAGAAAGGCAAAAGTTATATGTATTTTACCTCACAGTGGGCTTCTGTAGCCAGAAAGGTAAAAGTTATATGTAATTTACCTCACAGTGGGCTTCTGTAGCCAGAAAAGTAAAAGTTATATGTAATTTACCTTAAGATTGGCATGTTTTGCTTTGGCAAGTTCGTTAGTATCTTTCCACTTCCTGTCTAGGTCACTGACGGTCTTGTTCACAAAGCTGGGTGCATTGCGATCCCTCTGTAATCGTTTGCCAGCCTCGATGTCAGCCATGATGTTTGGGCGCTCCGACTCAAGTTTTGTCATGATGTTCTGTAAAATACAAACAGATTTGATGACAAATATCTCTTTTGACAGAGTATCACATCTAAGGAAAAAAGTTTTAGAACTTGAATTAGGTGAACATGTATCATGTTATGCCAAGAGTCTAATCCATGCGGTAGTTCAATCACAATTAATAGACACATACAAAATTGTGAGTTCAAAGTTCGGAAGTGTGCGTGAGTATAGAAATAGGTGTTATATTTATTTTACATGCTGGTAATAACTGAACAGTGTTTGTTAATGAATTAATTTTGTCTAAATATTGATTTGATACAATTAAACAAAATAGCCAATTATTAAATATATTTATGCAAAAATGTCTATGACACTAACGGGTAATATAATTAGATAAGACAGTAATACATTTAACAACAGACACGAAAATACAAAATCAGATAAAAGTCATTAATGTACCATTAGTAGAAAACAAGTTAAACATGTCTAAGTTTGTTTTTGTTGAATGAGGTATCCCTCACCCCATCATATAATTAGTATCATTTTTATTAATTCCTGTTAATCTGTTACTAAGAATTCCCAGTATATATTGCTGCCTTCCTTCTCCATACTACTGTGTGTGATATAAAGGAGCTATATCACATATAGATCAAAAGTGAAGTTAGATAGGAAGAAGGTTAATGAAACATTCTATTCCCATACTACTTGAAAATTAAGTCATACTACTTGAAAATGAAGTAAAACTACATTTCCCTATAATAGCATTAACCCTTTCAGCACTGTAGACCATATAATGGACTCATCCATATCAATGCATGGTAGAGCCAACTAAAGTGACATAGGGGTGAAAGGGTTAACTCTACATGTACAACAACCAGTGATATATATGTTATACACTCTATATACATAGTGCTTTCACATCGACAATATTTTCAACATTCATGCAGGTGTAATACAAGGAGATTAATTTTTGTTCTCTCTTTTATTTTCTTAAAGAAATTTTATATTCTTTAAAATGATTTCCTTCTTACAATACTAGGGTGATATTTTCATAAACTCTTGTATAAAATTTGTGAATATTTATTCTGATGAAATGTATCTTTAAAAAAATGTCTGACTTGTTGCAGCAGTAAGATTGGACTCACTATATAACTCTAAAATTAAATCAAAAAGAATTCAGCATGTTCTCCCGGTCACTAGTAAGTATTATGTGCACAGTTACATACACAGGACCAAAACAAAACTTACAAAATCACATTATCATTGTAAAATCTCATTTTATAGAAAGTTGTGCATTACCTACATATATGTATATATATATACAAAGCTAAACAACATCTAAAAATTCCAATCTACACAGAACACACTAGCAGTTTACGGAGGAAAAGTTTCTTCACACGCCATGTTCACAATATCACGGTCTCGTTCTGTGTTCCCAACCAGGTCCTACTTAGTCTAACATTTGTAATTCTCCGTGTCCATCACTGTAATTTTGTTACATATCTCTGTCCATGTCAATGTATGAGGACAGCTGATCAATTATCTAATGCTTTATTTGATACTTTATCTAATGATTTATCTAATACTTTATCTAATACTTTAATTATCTAATACTTTATCTAATGCTTTATCTTATACTTTATCTAATGATTTATCCTTTATCTAATACTTTATCTAATGATTTATCCTTTATCTAATACTTTATCTAATACTTAATCAAATTCTTTATCTAAGCCTTTGTCTTATACTTTATCTAATACTTTATCTAATACTACTTTATCTAATACTTTATCTAATGCTTTATATAATGCTTTATCTAATGCTTTATCTTATACTTTATCTAATGCTTTATCTAATGCTGTATCTAATGATTTATCCTTTATCTAATGCTTTACCTTATACTTTATCTAATGATTTATCCTTTATCTAATACTTTATCTAATGATTTATATAAAACTTTATCTAATACTTAATCTAATACTGTATCTAATGCTTTATCTAATACTTTATATAATGCTTTATCTAATACTTTATCTAATGCTTTGTCTAATACTTTATCTAATACTGTATCTAGTGCTTTATCTAATACTGTATTTAGTGATTTATCTAATACTTAAAAAAACATACATGCTTCTTATTTTTACAATTCGTAACAGCACGATCCCAAAACAAGTACTCCTGAGAATGTTAACAGGGCACTACCTGGTGCATAACAAACTGCAATTACATGAATTACCTACACATATGCAATCATCTATACACATTTCCCTTCCATCTTACATGACCTGTCAACAAACAAGTATATTTATTTTGTAGAGAATTTACAGGTAAAATATAACACTAAATCCTGAACCTGTTGCCTAGTAACAACACTAGTAAACAGACAGTTTTGGATCTGTTGCCAAGTAACAACACTAGTAAACAGACTGTTTTGGACCTGTTGCCTAATAACAACACTAGTAAACAGACTGTTTTGGATCTGTTGCCTAGTAACCACACTAGTAAACAGACTGTTATTTTTTTAGGGAGTGCTATCAATCTAAAATGCCCATGGAATTCCAGAGAAACTTAAAATTGACAAAAGATACTGGACCCAAGCTGTTAAACACATGGTTTAAGGAAGCACAATTGAACTTGACCTTGAATTGTGAAAAAATAAAACTGTTAACAGAAAAATAAAGTTCTAGTAAAAATAGAGAGGCATGTTGGAGAACAATGAATTATTGTTTGATACGATCACCAGACTTGTGTGTATTTACATTTCCCTGTTCAAATAAAAACATACGAAAACTATTATGTGGTGTCATTTTCAAATCAGAAGTGATATTTTAATATTCATTTTCCTGTTGATTTTAAATTGATATAATGATATGAACCGTGCACATTGTGAGGTTTTAATGGAATGAAGAAAGCAAATAAACAATCCAAGATGGCGACTAGTTGAAGGTGAGTGATAAAAACTCTAAAATTTGGTGAGGACAATTATCATCACAACTGTACACAAAAGGCTATATACAATCTATGTATGAATTGTTCAGACTAACAGTACTAGTGGTCTACATTTCAGAGGACGGTAAAATCATTAGTTAGAATTAGAAGTAAATAACTCATGGCTAAAAGCATGCATTTTAAAAAGAAACACAATGACGGCACTATTTTACAGAAAATTAACAAACACTCAAAGCATCTGAAGTCACTTAAGAATATTGAATACCTTCTCATCTTCTTTAAAAAATCAACAAATACTCGAAACACCTGGAGTCATTTTAGAATATTCAACATCTCATCTTCTTTAAAAAATTACCCTATTTTAACACATTCGATACATCCGTACCAAGTGATGTTACCACGGGTTGAGAAGATTCACATTTCCTTTCTTACTAATACTCGAGATGCTGATCCGTCGTATTTCTTCTATTTTTGGAGAATTCTAAACCAAAACAAGCATTGCAAGAGCAACTAGAAACACAAGGAAATGTAACGAATGGATCTTACTTCATGTTCATGTAGATAGGCGCGCGCATCCTCCAGTCCGTCAATGAATGGCTGGTCCATCACAAGTTTCTGGGTTTCCTCCAACCAACTGGCTCGCTTTTCAATACCATCACGGAAGTCATAGGCTTTAGAAAAGATTGCAGATTTGTCACCTGTGGGCTGCAACTTCGGCTGTAAACCCTGGAAACGAGCCAGCAGTTCCCGGAGGCGTTGCTGCTCAGCAGTATTATCAGCATCAGGTGAGTCCTTCAGTAGCTCTCCCAGGCTCTCTTGCAGCCAGGAAGCATCATCTTCAAACTTGCGCATGTTTCGCAACGCTTTCTGTAGAAAAGATTTTTTTCATTTCATTAAGGACAATGAAAATCTAGATTTAGTTCGGTAACCTACTCTTGCAGGTCATTTATGTTGCTATTTTTGATTTTTTTTATTCTAATGTGTTTGATGGACTGCTAAATTCTAGACTGTGTGTTGTTGATTTCTATCTTGAGTAAACAAATACAGAAACATATCTGAAGGTTTATACTAGAGCAGTATACCTGGAATTTGTTCTGAAGGTCCTTGTACTCCCCACTGGTCAGGTTTTCATTTTTGAGTTGCTCCATCAGATCTTCTACCACTGCCACTGACGTCTGTAAGTCCTCCAATCTGTAGGAAACAGAGAACAGGTTCTTCAATTCTCAATAGTATCAATATAAAACAACTTTAATTCTAAATTTGAATTGCCTTAAAGATAAATTGAGTTTTATTCTTAATCTAAAATATTCAAAGTATGATTTTGTTTATTTTCAAAAACAGTAATTTTTTCCTTCAGATTGAACTTAAATGTTGTGCTTATTTATATATTACTTCCTTATTGTTGACATTGACGAATCAAATTGCCTGAGAATTGGAGACTAAATATGATTCACTAAGACTGATAGATAGCCAAGCCTAAGTAGGTTGGACCTACTTTTGATTGTAATCCTTCCATCTTTCTGGAAGCTGTTTCAGATCAAGGTGGGTGGAATCTAGAGCATGATTGAGCCGAGCCCAACGTGAAGCATGCTCATCATATCGTTCCTGTAGTGATGTCTCCTGACGGTCAGACTTGACCACATCGTTAGCCAATTTCTGCATCTTCTCAAGGCACTGTGTACACGTCTGGGTAAACTGACCTTCCACAAACAATTGCTACAAAAAAAAAAGTGTTCTCAATGTCTGAAAGTTACCGCAGTATAATTAAACTGTTAGTCGACAGTAAGATTAAAACTTATATTATCATTTTTATTAAATTATATTTAAACTTTAATTTTTGCACCAAGGTTGGAGAAAAATATTAAGTTTAACACAAATTCAGCACTGATGAGTCAATGTTCCATGTTTTTTACTTATATTCTACTGAACTATATATACAGAATGCTTTACAAAAAATAATCTATTTTGTGAAATGTAGCTTCCCCGATTATGTTATCTGTGGCAATCTTCTTTTTTCTCTGTTCAACTGAGTCGTATGAACAGTACAGGCATCTTGTGGTCAATTTTGATCACGAGTTCATAATGCTGTTTGACAATTGACCTTTCAAAGTGAGGCTGTCATTTGTACGATTACGAGCATAGTTAATATGTGGAAAATAGACCAAGAGAAATTTATGATTCCTGGCAGTCCATGTTTTTTCTGATCAAGCAGCTTAAAGCTAAAAAGAAACACGTAATATCTTACCTCTGAGAAAGACTTATCCAGTACTTCGTGAGAAATCATGACAATTAAAATAAACAAAACTTTCCCTGAATTTATTCCTCTTTCTGATGCTGTGCTTAAATAATTTCCTTTCATCACAAAATAAATACAAAACCCTGAATTACTTCCCTTACCCTGTGTTTCCTCAACACTTCCTTGACATTTTCATTTTTCTGTAGAGACTGTCGTTCCTGCGTGAGTGTCTGCTCAGCAGAGTCCATACACTGGACAAAGATTTCCTCGGGCACCAGGAATTCCAGCATGGTCAGTCGGACTGGTGCCTGGCTAGTGACAACCTACATTTATAAAACACAGACTTAGTGTTAACCACCAAAGGGAAACCCGAATACATAAAACACAGACTAGTGTTAACCACCAATCAAAGGGAAACCTGAATACATAAAACACAGACTTAGTGTTAGCCACCAATCAAAGGGAAACCTGAAAACATAAAACACAGACTTAGTGTTAACCACCAATCAAAGCGAAACCTGAATACATAAAACACAGACTAGTGTTAACCACAAATCAAAGGGAAACCTGAATACATAAAACACAGACTTAGTGTTAGCCACCAATCAAAGGGAAAACTGAATACATAAAACACAGACTTAGTGTTAACAACCAAGCAAAGGTAAACCGGAATACATAAAACAGACTTAGTGTTAACCATCAATCAAAGGGAAACCTGAATACATAAAACACAGACTTAGTGTTAGCCACCAATCAAAGGGAAACCTGAATACATAAAACCCAGACTTAGTGTTACCCCCCAATCAAAGGGTAACCTGAATACATAAAACGCAGACTTAGTGTTAACCAGCAATCAAAGGGAAACCTGAATACATAAAACACAGACTTAGTGTTAGCCACCAATCAAAGGGAAAACTGAATACATAAAACACAGACTTAGTGTTAACAACCAAGCAAAGGGAAACCTGAATACATAAAACAGACTTAGTGTTAACCATCAATCAAAGGGAAACCTGAATACATAAAACACAGACTTAGTGTTAGCCACCAATCAAAGGGAAACCTGAAAACATAAAACACAGACTTAGTGTTAACCACCAATCAAAGCGAAACCTGAATACATAAAACACAGACTAGTGTTAACCACAAATCAAAGGGAAACCTGAATACATAAAACACAGACTTAGTGTTAGCCACCAATCAAAGGGAAAACTGAATACATAAAACACAGACTTAGTGTTAACAACCAATCAAAGGGAAACCTGAATACATAAAACACAGACTTAGTGTTAGCCACCAATCAAAGGGAAAACTGAATACATAAAACACAGACTTAGTGTTAACAACCAATCAAAGGGAAACCTGAATACATAAAACACAGACTAGTGTTAACCACAAATCAAAGGGAAACCTGAATACATAAAACACAGACTTAGTGTTAGCCACCAATCAAAGGGAAACCTGAAAACATAAAACACAGACTTAGTGTTAACCACCAATCAAAGCGAAACCTGAATACATAAAACACAGACTAGTGTTAACCACCAATCAAAGGGAAACCTGAATACAAAGTGTGTTTAATAATGATTATTAAAGATATACACTGAGGTTGATTAACCATACATATAGTGATAAGATATCAAAAAGTCACTGCATTTCAAAATGCTGTTGAATTCCTGAACCATCAACTTCTTCCATTATGTATCTTTTACTTGTTCATGTCAGAGACCTCAGCAAGATTACAAACCAATAACTATGAGTAGTACTTACTAAAGCATGTTATATTCCTTTCTATACAGGAATTGAAAGTCTTTGTGAATCAAAATGAAGGAAAGAATGTATAGATTAGGTGAATGCTTTAGATCTAAGCCCCACTCACTTTCCAGCGTTCCTGAGTCGTGCCTAGGCTGTGTTTGAGATCACTCTGTTCCCGAGGGTCTAGCTGGGCCAGGATTTCCCGCCCAGTACTCTGATATTCCTCAAGGAGTCTGTTGTCAACGCGGTTAAAGAATTTCTTGTGTTTTCTAATGAGGCTATCTGGGTCGTCGGCCCCGTCATTAAGCACAGCTTCTGCCTGGGCGAGCCACGCCTCAACAGCCTCCTGTTTCTGCTGAAGTACACGCCAGAGTCGTGACTGATTCTCCAAGCGTTTCTCCCAGTCTTTGGCAGTAGTGATGCATGCCTGGAATTACAGACGTGAAACAAAACTTTTATCATTACAATTTGAATTGGAATCACAAATCAACGATTATATGTTATGTCCCATGTGGCAAAATTCTGAATAAGTCTCATACTTGGAAACTTGTACATTAGTTTAATGTTATATCTTTATGAATTTCACAAGAGCTTGTATTCATATGTAAAAAAAATTAAAAATCAACATTTCTAAAACATTTTTTGTTTTTTTACTGGATATATAGGTAACTGTAACTGACCTGAAATCGTTGGTTAGTTTCCTCCATTGGTCTGTCCACCGGGTCAAAGTTGACATTGTCTAATTTGGGTTTAGTTGATGTGACCTTTTGGTGCACCTTGTTTTTACTTTCCATGATGGATTTCTGGTAAGTCACTTCTGAGAAAAATGCCTACAAAATAAAGCAGCTTAATTACAATGTCCTTATCATGGGAACAAGTAATACCTCTAAGAATTCAAGGATGAAATTATTCACTCAAGTATCATCCTATAACTGTGAATCATGTATACATAAAACTGTGAATCATGTATACATAAAACTGTGAATCATGTGTACCTTATGTTTTTCCAGGTGAGCTTCAGTTGCCTGAGGTGTTCCCTCCATCTTGTGTGTTGCCAGGACTGCCTCGCCTTGATCAAGCCAGGCGTTTAGGTCAGAAATTCCAGTTTCTAAAGATTCTACGTTTGGAAGCACTGCTTTTAGATATTTGAGTTTTTCTGGAATTTCCTTCCTCACTCTCACAATCACTTCCTTCTGAATGTTGAGAGTGGTTAGCATTTCATTGACAATATCCTGAGAGCTGTCCTTCACCAAGGATTGAGCTGTCTTTGTGGTTATCTTAAAGTCATTCTCCATATCAGCGATTTGACCATTCACAAGCTGTGGAAAGAAAATTCAAATGACAAAATCTGCCATGATGTGAATTTTAATTTGGAGATCTATTTCTTCTAATCTTTTGCAAGATTTCATCCTTCATTTGTTTTCGTCTCTAGAAATGTGAACTTTACTATCTATAACCTTCATCATGTCAAGTAATCCGTACATATTACTGGACAAACTTTGAGAAATTTATAACAATATATTGCACTTATATTTAATTACACATTTGACTGTTGGATATTTTTTGAAGCTATTAATCTAATAGGAATGTGAATGTGAGACACATATAAATATATAAAATACATGAGGTTTATTGTGGAGACTTACATCAATATCCTGTAGGTAATCCTTAAGTGTGGAATGTACACAGGGAACCTCTAGTCCCAGGAGATCCTCCGCGTTACGTAGCCAGTCTGATATCCTGTCAACCCCCACGCCGTAGGAGCTCCGAGCCTTCCCTATCACTTCCACGTTTTGGAATGTTGTAAACCCGTCTGACAGACTCACAAATTTTTGCATTAGATTATCTACGGTTTGTTCTACCTCCATAGCCACAGGCTCACAGCAGGCCTCCTTTAAGTACTGTCCACATTCCATCAGCACATTCTGTTTCTCTTCATATTGTGGAAGCTCGCTGAAGAATTGTTGCTTTTCGTCTGTTGTTCCGTGAGATATCTTGGCTTCACCGTCTGCTACCCAGGGTGTCAGGATGTCTACACACACTGTGAACTGTTTCCACTGTTCCACAGTGTCCTCCAGTATATTCTGAGATTTTTTCACCTGTAATTCGTCTTCTTTCCAGGCAACAGATTCCTCCTCCATGAACTTTGTCACCCGACTTTTTTCATCCTGATCTGTATCATTAAGAAGGAATGTCAAAAATACATTAAAATGTTATCAGGGACCTGAGTCGGATAGGAAGCTCTGATCTCAAGAATCCAATAAGATAGTTGGTGGGTTGGCCTTAACCACTTTATACAATTATCATATTCAGGATAAGTTTAACAACATAAGAAGGCCGTTTGATTGAAATAGAAATTCTAAATCATAAAACATTGTTCAACATACCAGCTATTTTCTTGTAACCATCAGCTCTCTTTTTCAGTTCCTCATATGTTTGGTCGTAATGGCGAAATAAATGTCCAGCTACGACAAAATCCTACAAAAACAAGATTACCGTCTGAACCTCATAGAAAAATTCTACTAGGAAAGTTTTATTTTCATTTTTATAGCTCTATGACTTTCTTTGTATTGGAGGACATTCAGCAATCAAAATATTCTCTTTGAATACAACCATTTCTTAATTTTGGCTGTGTCTTTCAGTATCCTGAGGGACAAATCTCTGGTACCAAAGATACCTTCTATCAAATTTGGTTGAAATATAGTCAACTGATCAGGAGAAAGAAGTATTCAATACTTAAACACCCAAATTAACTTTGCAGCATGATTGTGTTCATATTCATGCCCTTCAAGCACATATTTAGTCATATGGTGGAAATCTTGACCGTTTCTATGTTATGGCACTGAAACTACCAAGGGCAAGGCCAGATCGCAGGGCTAATTATATGGTAATGGGGTGGGGATCTCTTCATACCCAGTTATTGTATATATGGTAATGGGGCGGGGATCTCTTCATACCCAGTAATTGTATATATGGTAATGGGGCGGGAATCTCTTTATACCCAGTTATTGTATATATGGTAATGGGGCGGGGATCTCTTCATACCCAGTTATTGTATATATGGTAATGGGGCGGGGATCTCTTCATACCCAGT